GTTCTCACATGATAGGTACTTCTTAATTCAAACGTTGTACAATGTCTTGGAGTAATCTGTCCCACCCACTTATAGGGCACTAGTAGCCATGAGTGATGGAACAAGCCAGTAGTCCACTTACCCACTTTAAAGTAATGTAACAATAGGGCAGCAAAGGTTAGCTAACATTCATAACCGGTTTCCCTAAAACCACGTACGAAAACGGACCTTGTCTACGAACGGGAAATGCTTCCAAAACTTGTTTAAAAATAGAACAAAAGGTTTCTAGTTCTTTGGTTTATAAAGTAATGTATCCCGGGATTTTGAAAGCAACAGCGTTTAAAACGACAACTCGCCTAAAGTATTCAAATCAAGTATAAATTATAGTACTCAAGAACATTGTAGCTACCTATCAGTGAAAGAATTTCGGAAATCAGACCAGCAGTTCCTAAGATACAACACTACGTGTACCTACATCTTGCGCATAGCTCCAAAAAGGATGTACCTACGTAAAGTGTAGGCTGTAAATATTTAATCGAACCAATTAGCTCGAACAATAATGAAATAGTATGAAAATACTAAGTAAATCTATACTTAAAAGCAATTAGTATTACCAAATGAAAGCACCCATGCGTGCAGTTCTCATAATATAATTATCGTAATATGCAAATAATAATACGTTATCATAATAGTTAGTTATACACAATATTTTTATAAAAAACCTTAACCTCAATCCTGCTAAAACTTTTGTATGACGGATCATTTCATAGGTACATAATCAACCTATAAACTAAACATATCCATAACTGTCACACCTGTCAAAAATATCACTGGCCGTAATCCCTCACTTGGGCCCTTCGACTTGGTTGCAATGGTCTACGTAACTGACCTCGACATAAAATTAGAAGCACACGGGTACCAAATACTGGTTCTATCCATTTCACTTGATGTTATAATAACAACATATTATATACTAGCTACTCATATTATGTGGTGAAGAAAATCGTTCTCGACAAATTTTGAGTTATACGAACTGTAATTTTGCTGTTTGATCTTGTAAAATTGGCAGAATTGCAAACTGCTACTATCATGCTGGAATATAATTATAAGTGACACGGCTAACTTCATTCCACCTCAAATATAATTTATTTAATATTTTTCGATTTATTGAATATTTTTTTTTTTACTTTTTCATTTAGTTTTTTTTCTGAGTTTTAAACCTTGCCCTGTATATCCAGGACAATTTTAAGCCCGCAATAAGCTATATCTGTGCAGTCTTTCTCGAGTTTTAACGGGACTAACGATCAGCAATTCATTTTTGTATAAAAATTATTTCTTTCCAGATATCCAACATGGCTACAAAGCTTCTGGTGTTACTAGCCGTGGTGTCAAGCGCGACAGCCGCTGTAAAACTCCAAGAGATGTTTTCTTGGAATGTAATGGACTGGAACTACCCTGATCCCTACTCTAGACAGCAAGCCATACAATCTGGAGCTCTCGTTCAGGAGAATGCCCTTCCAGTTGGTATTGAGAGGTGGAGGAACAAACTCTTCGTCAGTGTACCCAGGTGGAAGGCGGGTGAGTTTCCTTGAAGTTTTACAAAATTGTGCAATATTTATCTAAATCTTGATTCTAAGTAAATCTAGTGTAGACATCTGTCTTACGTTTTTTGACACTATCGTGACTATAAAAGTTAATGGCTTAAGTAACAATAAGGTTTAGTGTAACACCATGATATATTTTGCTCTAAATCTCTTTAGGGCGAGATAAAATATTCAGGCCAACACAAACTGCGAATTCATTATTGGCTAATCCCAATTCATTTTTGCTATACTACGAAATCTTGGTAAATATTGAGTTAGCACAACTTAATAACATAAGAACGTCAATTATACAGAGCCATCAGAAACTTCCGTCACGCATTTCTCTTTGCGCGTGGAAGACATTTTATGTCGTCATCGTAATACCAGGTCTGTTGAGAAAATGGTCACATTACCATACACGGTGATCAAACTGAGTCTACCATATATAGTTATATCCATTTCTATTTTAATTAACAATAATTTTGAGACCCACATCAAATATAGCTGAGATTAATGGGAGCGATGGTATTATTTTGAAACTTACTACAAATTCGTCGGTGGCCTACTTTATTTTAGTACAACACATTGTGTGTCGGTATCTGCCTTATAAATCTATGGTTATGACTCTTGTTCACAAAATTGTCGTTAGATATTATTAATTTGCCTTTTACTGTTTCCTTAAATAACGATTACTTTTTAAGTAAATTTTTAATTACTCAAGGTTTCGTCGTAAGTAATTGGATTACGTAATTCAAATTAATACCAGCGCATATTAATTTATTCATACACACCTCGTAAGTTCTGGGTTCGCGTAGAACCACAATACGGAAGTTGAATCGGATGGAAATTTCCTATTAAACTCACAACATTTTAAAGAGGGTCAGAAAGTTTTGTAACTATTTCCTTAGTCTACATTAAACGTCCAATATAGCTAAAATAATACATATTGTATACTGTTCCATATGTCTAATAAAAAATTTCAAATAGTTATGAAAAATTTACTTACTTCTATATTTTCCAGGTATTCCCGCTACATTGAACTACATACCTTTGGATGCCCCCTATGATCCGTCTCCAAAACTGAACCCCTACCCAAGTTTTGCAGGCAACGAGTTGGGTAACTGCCAGTCTGGGCTCAACACAGTCTACAGGATAAAGGTCGATAAATGTGACCGTCTCTGGGTCCTCGATGTTGGTACATATGGATATGGTAAGCAATAATCCATCACATTAAATGCTTCGCATTAAGTATAATCAAAAGAATAAACAAAACACTTTGCGATAGGCAGTTCCTTCATTTTAGTAGTTTCACTTTTTTGCTAGGCGTTAACCTTAATTACTTTACATTAAACAATATCAATTAAGCGATGTCGAAATGTTAGTGCTGCAATCGAGTACCTTATTCAATTACGCATAATTAATTGTTTTCAGATGCCAACGTTACCAACCTCTGCCCATACTCGCTCAACATTTACGACCTTAACACCGACCAACGCATCCGAAGATATGTATTCCGTCCCGAAGACATTGTTTCATCTACTTTCATTGCCAATATTGCTCTCGACGAAGGAAGAACCTGTGATGACACTTTCGCTTACTTCTCCGACGAACTTGGCTACGGTCTTATTGCCTACTCGTGGCAACAAAACAGATCATGGAGGTTTAGCCATGGATTCTTCATGCCCGACCCACTTACTGGAGATTTCAACATCGCCGGCCTGAACTTCCAATGGAGCAGCGAAGGTATTTTCGGTATCACTACTTCTCCTGCGGGACCAGACGGATACAGAACCCTCTACTTCAGCCCCTTGGCTAGTCACACTCAGTTTGCTGTGTCTACTCGCATTTTGCGTGATGAAACAAAAGTCAGTGGATCCTACCGCGACTTCCAAGTTGTAGGCGAACGCGGCGCTAACGGTCACACTACCTCTAAGGTCATGGATGAATACACTGGAATTGAACTCTTCAATTTGATTGACCAAAATGCCATCGGTTGCTGGAGACAGGATCTACCTTATAAACCACAAAACATTGCTGTGGTAGACAAGGACGATGCAGGTTTAATTTTCCCTAGTGATGTCAAAATTGACGCTCAAAGGAATGTTTGGGTAATGTCAGACAGGATGCCAGTGTTCCTTGAATCCACCTTAGACTACAGCGACATCAACTTCAGGGTATACACTGCTCCCATTGATGTTCTGGTTCAAGAAACTGTTTGCCAGACCGCTTCTCAGCTTGTGCAAACCCCCAAACCAGTTCAACAAACAAGCATCATTCCTCAGCAGCCCACATACTCATTCTACGATACAGGTTTGGGAGTGACCGGGAACCCGCTGGCTATTCAGGGAGGTTCTCTTTCTCTGTACTCTCCAGTTTCATCTCCTCAGCCGGAGATATCCAGCACCTTTAGGCCTGGAGCTATAATTAGGAACTCGATACCTACTGTGCAGAGCTACATCAACTTCCCAAAACAAACTGCAATTCCATACTTTGCGGGAAGACCAAAATCCTACATACATTCTAGCAGAAACCCTTGGTGGCACGACAAACGTAATTACGAAGTATACGAACATTAATATCGATCTTCTTTTGTTCTAAATAAATTAGAATAGGAGACATACGTACAATGTTGCTTAGGAGATTTATCTGTCTGATCAACATTGGCTGTTTTAATTACTATACATTACTTACTGTTAATTCTTAGTAGATATGTAAATGTATTTTGACATACAATTTCATATTTGCAGTTTACCATAATGCAGAACATTAACTATTATTCGCAATAGTTAAATGTATCTGCAAGTTCAACTCAAACTCAACTGAACTGTTAGCTCCCGTACTTTAAATACGTTAATAATGTAGATAATATTTATTTGGTTGCAACACGTAAGTATTCAGAAGATATTGTAAAAAATGTACTTCTAGAAATCATCAAAATTAATTAGATTTTTACGTACATTGTATATGTACAGTAGCTTAATAATATAATTACGGTTAAAGCTGTGCCCTTAGAGTGCGAAAGTTACCTGTTATTTAATTTTTTTACGAAATAAATGATGTAATAAAATGTAATTTTAATTTTATTTCAACATTAATTTAATTCGCCCTTAATTATATTATACAATATCCTAAAAACATCATATTTTTTTAATTATTTGGTCAACAAAAGAGTTTGGACTACTTAGAGAAGACAACTCATTAATTTAAATAATTTTATTCGAGGCTACCTAACTGTCATATAAGAAGAGGCTAGCAAAGTGCTCAAAACAGATAATCGACAAGTATTTAATCTTATACTGAATAGTCCATTAAGTGTTGTTTTCCTGCTGACTATGTGCAAGCATGTTTATCATTTAATTCAGGTACACCAGTGAAACAATAAAATACTCGTACAATTTGAATTTAATTCCAGTACTTCTATTCATATCTATAAGTATAATTATATTCTCCTTGTAGCGGTGATAAGGATGCACAAAAATAAAGAGAAATAGTTCATTTATACAATACACTTAGCCATTCCGTACGGCTCAAACGTACCTGCGATAAAATTGTTAAAACTTACACGTGAAATCTTACAGAGATGTTTTCTTATCAGACTATCTAGATTCGCGCCAGTGTCAGTCAAATATAAAGCAATAAAGGTCTTTATAATGCACACTAGTAAAGCCGTTTACTGTAACATTAAACTATTTTCTTAGATGTCACACACAAACTACCTTGAGGAAACTGTTGAATACCGTGCTTCTTACCGTTTTAAGAAAATTTGATAATCTGAGACTGTGTATTTTTTTTGTGAATGGTCACGATAGTCAACGAATGATAATAGTTTTTGTGAATCAAGTTGATTGGTGTTAGTTTTGTGCTATTGTTGAGAATTAAAAACGTTATAAATACCAATCAAGGTGTTTTATTCAATAAAAGAATTTTTAATATAATTGAATGAAACTATGAATGCTGAGAATGCTGAAGTTAAGGGAGAATACAATCCCTACGAACATAGGAAAGTTGAAAAACCAACTTCGTAAGTTATATTTACTATTTTTTTTTTTATAAAGATACAGCTATCATTGGTGCAATTTATTAATTTTCACAATAGCAATTTCCTGCGATTTCTCAGTTGTTAGAAAATAGAAATAAGGTAAAAATGCTACGTGCTAATACTTTTTTTGTTTCCTGGAAAGACATGTACATATATTATGTAAATAAATATTATAATGTTACAAATAGTAGATTGAATAACTGAAGTCTTTATTTTAACCAGAAGTGGCCATAATTTCAGTCTTTGACAGACCTTCTTCTTTCGTCTTTTACACAGTTTACACTGACAATACTTGTAAATTCATCCATTCTATCATAGTTTTAATAGCAAATACATTTGTTTATTTCAGAAATATACGATCAACGGCAAATTTAATCAAAGCTTCGCTAGGTTCTGGTTTGTTGGCTGGTCCGTTGGCGTTTTCTAACGCAGGATGGGGGGTTGGACTATTCGGCACATTACTTGTCGGTGTGATATGTGCTCACTGCATACATATATTAGTAAGTATATTTTGATATCATTATTCCTCTTCTTTTTATGATTAAATATCATCCTTATTGATTTCAATCGAACGCTATTCTTCAACTGATGATCGTACCTCTTCATTAAGGTGCAGGCTGACGGTACATATGCTACGGTATATAAGGTTGGGCGACTGGCTGCCTTGCAACGTATCACGGGTTTCACTCTTGCGAACAATTTATTGTGTGGTCCATAAAATTATTATTGTGGGTCTTAATGGCATGTTTAAATATTTTTAGGTATGTTTGAAAAATACACAGAACACGACAAAGTCCAATGGAAAGGAACGTAAAAAAATATTTTTGACGTTTTGAAAGTGTATGGTCTAGTCATCGACATCTTCCCTCTCTAAATATTTTATTGTTATTATGAACATGTCTGGATTTATGTGAAGATTTTTTAAAAGTCGTAGTCAAATCATGTTATTAAAAAAATCAAAAACGAAATTTCAGTTGTAGATTTGGAGAAAGTTTTAGAGAATAACATCCAAGAAAGTATTTTTTTTTTGAAGGTAAATAGATAAGTACTGAAAAAGCTATGACGATTTCAACATTGAAATTTAACTACCTTTTGTTGTATAGTAATGATAATTACTACTTAATCACGTGAATTAACGACACAACAAGACTCTTATCGATAAGCAGCGTGTGTCTCACGGCGATGTCGCGCAAGCGGTGCGCGTAGGTTGTTGTTTCCAATAAAATTGATTTTTTTTCAAAACATTCATTATATTTTCTTTTCAGGCAAACAGTGGCAAAGAAGAATAGTTAGCGGTGCTGTGCCATGTTGGGTCCTATTAATACACTTACTTGACTACCCACCTTTAAAAGCGCCATCTTGCTTGCCCTCTTTAACGAAATTTAATATGTACTTATTGATTTTAGCGTAAATAATTTAGAAAAAGCTACGCGTCATAGATTTAAACAAATTGATACAAACCTTTAATTTCAAAATTTTTAAGCAATACATAAATTACATCCTATGTTGTACATAGGTACCAGCAATTTTTAAATTTTAAAGAGCCGCGTCATAACGTGAAACTGATAGGTATTACTATTTTTACTATAGTGCCAATAAAAAGAGTTTTGTTTTGTTTTTACAGCAAAACTTTATTTTCGCTGCTCATGAATTTGAGTGAATTCAAGCCGCTGGGATGGCTTAGAATTGGAACAAGACAAGTTCCAAATCAAATGTTTATAAGTGTTAAAAATAATAATTCACTTCCTTCTCGCATTAAACAAACTGAAATATTTATTCTGATTGTTCCCTAACATTCTCTCTCAAGTAGGAAAGTATTACTAAGGGGTAGACACACTAGCTTATTTATGTTTTACCGTTTATCTAACTAAATGTTTTTTTTCGACTTTGTTCACAGATTAACATTAAATTATTTAATCTGTATGCAGCATAAAATTACATAGACGCTATTATTGCCAAATGCCACCATGCACTAAACAGTAATTTAACTCATTTGAGTCATCATAGCCAATCCCAAATTGTTGCTCTTATCATTTTTTCGAAAGTAACAACAAAAAACTAATTTAAATATTTTGACAATATCCTTAGTTTTTTTAACTTACAAGTATAAAAATTCCATGAAACGATAACAGTGACAACAAGTTTTATACAATAAATATTTTCTTTCTTTCAACCAGTATACGGAACAAATTTAACGTTAAAAGCAAATATTTAAATACTGTCTCGATGGTCTTATGTGAGTGATCGCAAACATATCTGTACGAAGTCATGTTACATGTAAACCAAGTCCGGCCAAGTGTTTAAGACTTTTTAATTTGCCAAACTTTCAGTAATAGTAGGGAGTAAGGAGTAGGGAATGAAGTCCAAATGGTCGTTCGCAACTTTCAATACCTTCTTATATTATTTTATGGTACTTGAAATGTGACCGACGAAAAAACCATTTCATATAACTGCATCATATTTGTGTTTCTTTAAAGAAAAAAACATTGCCCCACAATACGATTTTCTGCTGTCGCGGTTGCGTTTTTACTTTAATACGTTTTTTATTTCACATTCATGTCATTGGGGTATGACATAATATGGAAGAACATTAATGGATCACACAAAAATTTATTCCATGCAGAAGTCCAAACCCGCGATAGGTTGTTCGACTGGTGGCCCGACTACCGCGTAAAATGAGCAGTAAAGATTTTTTATGTGATAGTCAGCACACGTCCATTTAATAGTAATTAAGCAGCAGCACACGTCCATTTAGTAGTAATTACGCAATCAAACCCGCCAAAAAATACCCGCAACAACGAAAGAATTACAAGTCCGTTGCCTAATTATTATGGATTAGGAATTTGAAGATTTAGGAATTGGGCCTCTCCAATCCCTATTAATCGCGTTGGTAGATGGTAGAGGAAAGTTTGGGTCTCCGGTAACCTCACTCACACGTTGAAACACAACGCTCTGGTTGTTTCTGTAAGGCTGTGGTATCATTCCGCTCGAACCTTCATTGATGTCTTCCTCACAAATAAAACCACTTCTCTTAACATTACAGGTAAAGACATCGCAACAATGCTGCGTTTTAGAAAAGAAACCGTCCTTAGGTTATGCGGAGACTTGCAAAGCTGCCTTCATGAATGGACCGAAAGGTGCTAGAAGATTTGCAAAGTTTGCAAGGTAAATAATATATTGTTTCAATTCTATTTTGGTAAATAAAAAATAGCTGCATTGGTGTATACCAACAATATACATGCCTTAACAATTGCTTAAATGGTTCAACTACATTTAACTTTAGGAGAGCTATGCTGCGATAGAAATGGATAGGCTACTCGAAAACCCAATCCCCAAACACCTTTTTCTTCAAATTAGCCTATCCCCAAAACCCCTAATCCCTTAATCTCCCATCCACACGTCACCATATCCCCAAGGGGTGCATGCCAGAAGACCTCCCCGTGGTGCACCCTGGGTGCGGGCGACAGTCTCCCTAACGGGATGGCGACAGGGTTGGACTGACTGTCGCCCGCAGCGAACTTCTGGCCGGGCGGAGAACCCGGTCGGGTTCTAGAGGCGACCGGCTCTATGCTGGCATAGGGTCCACGCCTCCGTGGGGGCGTTCCTCTGCACGACTCTCTGGACCTAGCAGAGAGCGGGGCGGAGAAACAAGGGCGGCGCTCGTTGTGCACTCACCCTGCCAATGAGTAGCATCGGGGCACTAGCTGCGCCCGACTGCACCCGTCGATATCGTAATCCGGGAAGAGATCATGGTCATGTTTTATGACTCGGACCGGGACGAGGGTCTTGGCTTAACCGCCCGGACCGCGAGGAAGATAACCTCTATAAAAAATTCCTCCAATACTAAGTTCTGGTGCGCGGCGAGGGTATGTATGGCTGAGGAGTAGAATCAGTCGTGAGCGCACCCCCAGCTAGGGGACCGGTGGACCCCCTAGTTGGGAGACAAATGCACACTTACCCAGGGACAGGGGGCTCTCCCTGGGCGGACCTCTTATTTCCCCCATACTCGTGGGACTTCAATGGAGATACCTAAAAACAAAAACCAAAATAAAAATCCACCTAACGGTGAGGAGGACGCAAGCGAGGTCAGCTCGCTTGCGAATATAACCGAGGCGCTAGATGCATCCTATGCACGTGCCTCTAGCAGGAAGGAGTCAGACTCAGAGTCCGACTCATCATTGTCTGGCGTCAGCATCGCGCTGCGCCACAAGAAAGACCGGGGCGTTTTTAAACGTCCCAGGTTGGAGCCGTCTTCCAACGAGCAGGAGGCCCCAGCCCCCAAAATCCCCACGGCTGCGCGGGGTAGGGGCAAGGGGAAGGGCTCCACAAGGGCGGCTGGGAGCCGATCCGAGCCGGCAGAGCGGCTGGCAGCGGAGGGGAGCGCCCTGGGAAAGGCTGCCCCCTCGGACTCCTCGGAGATGGAGGCCTCCGGTGGTGAGGGTTCTGTAGGCGGCGCTGAGAGCCTCCGCCTACAAGTAAAGGAAGCACTCCGCATGCTGGCTGGGCAGAAAACCCAGGCTGGCAGAAATGGAGTGCTTAAACACGCGGAAGCCGCTATTATGTCGGCGGTATCCCAGCCGGGCTCAGCTGAGCGGCAGATGGCCGCTATGCAAAAAGAGCTGGCTGGAATGCGGCGGGAGCTATCCCGCTTGGTGGCTGCCAATACTGCCCTGGAGGCTGAGCTTCGGGCAGCAAAAACAGAGCTCGCCGCAGCTCGGGGAGTCCGATCCCAACCTGCGCAGCCAGCGGAGGCCGACCTTCTCGGCCTTATGCGGCGGGAGATGGCCGCCTTCCAGCAGCGTTTCGACGTGCTGGAGGGTAGGCTCCTGCGACCTCCACTCGCAGCCGGGTCGTATGCTGCCGCAGCGGCTAAGCCCAAGCCGCCAACCAGCCGTGGGGCACAAGCCAGCGCACCGGCGAAGAAGGGGGCGAAAGCGCCGCCAGCCTTGCCACCGACGAGAGCGCCCGAGTCTCCCTCGGCGCTGGCTCCTGCGCCGATGAGCCGCAGACGAAGAGGAGCAGCGGCTGGAGCCCCAGCCGCATCGGCACCTACTCCGCCGTCTGAGTCGCGTGCTGGCAGCGAGTGGCAAGTGGCGGGGGAGGTGAGGAAGGTCGCCAAGGAGAGGAGGAAGCTCCGGAAGAAGGAGCAGCGGCAGCGGCGACAGCAGCGGCGCAAGGAGAAGCGCGCTGCGGCAATGCTCCTCGCCCCAAAATCTTCGGCTGTAGTTATCACACTACAGCCGGACGCGGCGAAAAAGGGGGTGACGTATGGCGAGGTCCTCGCCAAACTGAAGGGGGCGGTAACTCCCGCGGAGTTTGGGGCACCCGACGGGTTCGCAGTGAGGGTCACTGCCACTGGAGCCCGTCTCTTGGAGGTCCCCGGCGCGGCCAGCGGCCCGTCCGCTGACGCCCTTGCCGAGAGGCTCAGGGCGTGCATTGCGGCGGACGAAGCTCGCGTGTCCAGGCCCACCAAATGCCTGGAGCTACGCATCATGGGCCTGGACGACTCCGTGACGGAGAATGAGGTGGCGGCCGCTGTCGCCAGGACGGGGGGGTGCCCTGCTGACCAGGTGAAGGCAGGCACTATCCGCCCGGACAATACGGGGCTGCGGACTGTGGTAGTCAGCTGCCCCGTCACAGCGGCCAAAAAGCTGGCAGAGGGTAAAAGGCTCCTGGTGGGCTGGGTTTCGGCGCAGGTGAAGCTCCTGGAACCCCGACCTTTGAGGTGTTTCCGCTGCCTCGTGGGTCACCACGTGGGTGCCAAGTGCACCTCAGAGGTGGACCGCAGCGACCGCTGCTTCCGCTGCGGTCAGCCCGGTCACAGGGCCGGCGCTTGTACCGCCCCGCCGCACTGCGTAGTATGTGCGGCGGCTGGCAAACCGGCTGATCACCGGGTTAGGGGCAAAACCTGCTCCCCCCCCACCAAACCCAGGAGCAAAGGTAGGCCCGTAGCCACCTCCACCGCTCCCACCGTCGCTCCCGCTGCCGCCGCAGTCGCCAACACCCCTGCGACTGCTGCTGTCGCCGCTGCCGTCAGAGAGGAGGTCGTGATGGATACCCAATAATGGCTCCATTACGCCTCCTCCAGGCGAACATCAACCACTGCGTCGCTGCTCAGGATCTCCTGCTCCAGAGCATGACGCAGTGGTCGATCAATGTTGCTGTGGTCTCCGAGCCGTACTTCGTTCCAGCCAGGGAACACTGGGTGTCAGACCTGGACGGCTCGGTGACCATCATCTCGTCGGCCGCCGCCGGTACCCCAACCCCCGAAGGGCCTCAGCGAGGCAGGGGTTGCGTCGCGGCTCGGTTCGGAGAGATCGCCGTGGTGGGCGTGTACTTCTCTCCGAACCGAACTCTCGTCGAGTTCCACAACTCCCTCAGGGAGTTAGTCACCGTCGTCGTCGGGTTCCGTCCCCTCCCCGTGTTGGTCCTCGGGGACTTCAATGCCAAGAATTTGGCTTGGGGTTCCCGGCTCACTGATGTCCGGGGAAGGATGGTCGAAGACTGGGCTCTGGAGACAGGCCTCGTCGTGCTGAACCGGGGTTCTGTCCCCACGTGCGTACGGATGCGGGGCGAGTCAGTGGTGGACATTTCGTTTGCTAGCCCCGCTCTGTCATCGCGCGTTGTTAACTGGCGCGTCATGGAGGAGGTGGAGACGTTTTCGGACCACCGGTATATACGGTTCGACGTCTCCGCCGAGTCCGCAGACCCGCCAGTCAGACAGGCCCCGTGTGGCCCGCGTTGGGCGCTTAGGCAACTGGACCGGGAGCTTTTCCTGGAAGCCGCAGTCGTGCAGGCCTGGGTGATACCACCGGTCAGGCCAGCCGACATTAACGAGGAGGCGAGATGGCTCCAGGACGCCATGTCAAGGATGTGCGACGTGGCGATGCCCCGGATCCGACCGTGCCAACGCAAGCGCCAGGTGTATTGGTGGTCGCAGGAATTGGCAGACCTGCGCGGTGAGCGCACCGCAGCGCGACGCCGATACACCAGGCACCGCAGGCTCCGTCTCCGCCCTCTGGACGCTGAAACCAGAGAGGCGGAGCTATACGAGGAGTACAGGGCGGCGAAGGCCACCCTCAGGGTGGAGATCCGGCGGGCCAAAGATCGGGCCCGCGAGGAGATGTTGGAGACTCTGAACAGAGACCCGTGGGGACGCCCCTACCGGATGGTGCGTGATAAGCTCCGCACCTGGGCGCCCCCACTGACTCAGAGTCTCCGGCCGGAGGTCGTGGACGAAGTGGTTGGGGCGCTATTCCCCCGACCACAGATGGGTTACACGCCTCCGGCTATGCCCCCGCCCCCTGCGGTGCCCAATGCGGGCTACATCGACGACGACGACGAATCCGCTCCGGAAGTGACCGAGGTAGATTTGAGAGTGGCGGTGCGCCGGCTGAGCGGCAAGAATACCGCCCCAGGACCTGACGGGCTGCATGCCAAGGTCTGGGTCCTGGCCTCGGAGGCTCTCAGGCCTCGACTACTTGGTCTGTTCAGCGCATGTTTGGAGAGAGGCCAGTTTCCGCTGTCGTGGAAGACGGGTAAACTGGTCCTCGTGAAGAAGCCGGGGCGTCCTGCGGACTCTCCGTCCGCGTACCGGCCCATTGTGCTGCTCGACGAGGTGGGAAAGCTGTTCGAGAGGATAATCTCAGACCGCCTCGTCGGGCACCTGTCTGGAAGGGGGCCGGATTTAGCGGACGGCCAGTTCGGCTTCCGCAGAGGGCGCTCCACGGTGGACGCCATCATGCGCGTGAGGGACCTCACGACGGGGACAGCGTTGGCCGGGAGGCGAGTCGTCGTGGCGGTGTCTCTGGACATCGCCAACGCCTTTAACTCGCTGCCCTGGAGCTGCATTTTGGAGGCACTCCGGTATCACCGGGTGCCTGCCTATCTCCGTCGTGTAGTCGAGGCTTACTTGACGGACAGATGCGTCATCTACCCCGGTCACCGGGGCGTGTGGAATCGGCGCGAGGTGTCGCGCGGTGTCCCACAGGGATCGGTCCTGGGACCTCTCCTGTGGAACATCGGGTACGATTGGGTGCTACGCACCGACCTCCCGAGCGGCGTCAGCATTGTCTGCTATGCTGACGACACGCTGGTGCTGGCGAACGGGAGGTCGCATCAGGCGGCGGCCGACCTGATGTCACAAGCGGTTGCGACAGTCGTTGCAAGGATCCGGCAGTTGGGACTCGAGGTGGCGCTCCACAAGTCCGAGGCCATGTGCTTCTATGGCCGTCGGAGCGCGCCACCTCCAGGTGGGTCCCAAGTAACGGCAGGAGGAGTTACCATCGGCGTCGAGTCGGCGATGAAGTACCTTGGTCTCGTCCTCGACAGCCGATGGAACTTCACGGAGCATTTTCGTCGTTTGGCCCCTAAGTTGGAACGGTCTGGGGCCGCGCTCAAGCGGCTCCTTCCCAACCTCGGAGGGCCAAACGCCTCCTGCTGGAGGTTGTATATGGGGATTGTGCGATCCATGGCCCTCTACGGTGCCCCTGTGTGGGCGCCGGACTTGAAGCGGCGGCCGGCTCGTACGCTGGTCTCGTCCCAGAGGGTCATGGCTATACGAGTAATCCGCGGGTATCGCACGATCTCCGGGGAGGCGGCGAACCTCCTTGCCGGATCACCGCCGTGGGATCTAGAAGCGAAGGCGCTCGCGCGCGTCTACAGTTTGCGCGCAGACGCGCGTCGCCGGGGCGAAGATCCTCTGCCGCGCCAAATAAATGCGTGGCGGAATGAGCTCCGGCGAGATCTCATGGCAGAGTGGAGACAACGACTGTCGCAACCGAGGGCCGGGCACGCTACCATAGCAGCGGTAAGACCCCTCTTTGAGGAGTGGCTTGAGAGACGCCACGGCGTCCTCACCTTCCGTCTGACGCAGGTGCTTACCGGGCACGGCAGCTTCGGTAGGTTCCTGTTTCGGATTCAGCGGGAGGAAACGCCCGAGTGTCGTCATTGTGAGGACCACCTAGAGGATACGGTGGAGCATACGGTAGCGGTATGCCCTGCCTGGGCTGAGCACCGCCGTATCCTCAGGGAAGTGATCGGCGGCGGCGACCTCTCGCGCCCGGCCTTAGTCGAGGCCATGGTGCGGAGTGAGAGGAACTGGGACGCCGTCTCCTCCTTTTGTGAAGCGGTCATGCTCGCAAAGAGAGAGGCGGCCCGCGTGAGGGAGCAATCCTCCTCCTCACGCCCCAGCAGCCGCAACTGCCGACACTACGGGCGTCGGGGATCGAGGGACGATCTCCGGCCACCGTAAGTACGGGCCTGCGGTCGGCGAGTAAGGGCAGCTCGCCGCCCGACCAGAACCAGGCCCGAGCGTACGGCGCGTAGCGTTCCGCGCGCGCCTCAAAGAGCCAATAGACCACCACAGACGGGGCCCTAAAGGGCTGATGTTCAGCCGGGGCTGCGGGGTAAGCGCAATAAGGTACCGCGACCTCGGCACAGAGCAGGAGAAGGAACAGGGGGGTTTTTAGTCAGTAAGAGTCTGACACTCCCTCCTGCCCGGCCCTGGGCGGGAGAAGTCATTTGATGATTTTCCCCTCACAAAAAAAAAAAAAAAAAAAAACCATATCCCCAAACTCCCAAAGCGGCGAAAGAGTTGTGATTCCTCGAAGCTATGGAGAAAAGAGAGCGCCAATTTGCTTACCAGCAGATGACCCTAGTGCGCGTTTGCATCGACCTATCGCATTAAAAACAACTTTGATCGTGTAAATAGTTACCAAAACGAGGCTTAGATAAAAGTATTTTGTGGATAATCGACAACTAGCTATCATTTTTGTATATATGTGTATTTACCCTATATGTATACGTTACAGTTTCTTAAAATGTTGACAACCGTAAACAGTCAGTCGCAAATATCTTGATGACCAAACATTTCCATGATATAATAATAAGTCTTAAGGCTATGACAAGATATGGCGGCTTATCTCAAACAGCTTCATAAAGAAAATAACGCGGCACTTGAAATAAGACCAATTCATATTTACGTATTATAATCAGTTTAGGTACCTAGTCAATCAAAGGTTAACAATGTTGGTATGTCTTTTTATATTAAATAAGTCCTATAAAATACATATCAAATCTTTCGATTATGATTACAATAATTTGGTAGTTCAGTTAGGGGCGGATTATCGGGTAGGAAGACAGTATTTCAATAAAATAACTGTTGCTATAGTCACTTTTCTTGCAACTCTTGATATTACCATCACAACTATTCCAATTTAACTAAGGATAATTAAGATTAGCTTGGATTTGGCTACGTGCGTATTCAACGAAGGCCCAACACTAAGTCAAAGAGTATGTAACCACTACGTTTAAGAGACGGGACTCCCATACAAGCCAGTGGAATCAATTTACACGGCACTCTAATACCTACATTGCAATAAATAAAAGATGTCAGCCGTCAAAATCAATAGTACCAACCTAAAAGACCAAATAGTTCTGTGGTAGCTGTATACTAGGTTTAGTATCGATATCGATAATATTTATAGGGTAGAAATCGAGGTCATATTACTTTTTTAATTTTTAGTTTCGATCTTTAAGATAAAGTTCGGATTTGAAATAAAACATTGTGTTATATTAAAAACTAAAAAATATATTTTTGTTATAATATTCAAATTTATGTTATATACGGACGGTGTGTTAAGGACCTAACTAAAATTATTTAAATTAAGTGGACTCTAATACTTAATACATATATTGGTTCAGTAAATTGGTTCTATGGGCACATACACTAAATCTTCTTTGCCAACAACTTTCACCCACTGCCGGCACCTGAAAAATGGAAAAATTCAAAATGGACAGTCCCTGACATGAATAACTCTAAATTGTGTAAACAGCTGGCGTTCCTTACATAATAAATGCATAAATTTTACGAATACAGTATACATAAATTTTTATCTACGTTTAATCATTAATTTCTTAAAATCTACTGGGTTTGTCGTGTCACAACTTTGTTCAACAACATCTAATATCATCATTACTTCTTTGGTGAATTTGAATAAATAAATCAAGGGATCTTTGGAGTTTAGCCCACACATAAGTCTGTGACTATCGATACTTGAAGTACATCACTAGTACACAATAAGTACATGAAAATCAATTTACATGTATTTGTAGCCTTTTATACTTAGAATTAAATAAAATTATATCATTTAATGCTTACCGGTCCTCATCCAAAGGAAATTTCGCAATAAACATCCTTTTCTCGCCATTTTTACGACCGGATCGTCCTCCGCAGATTTCACAAGTTAGAAACCGTTTTTTTGGTGGCATTTTACTTGAACACGTAACTAGTCACAGCCGTATCACTAACCACTAATTAACTAAACAAATTATACGTAAATTTATGAAATTATGAAAATAACAACATAACCTTACAAAAGCAACGACATTCAAAGTTCAAAACTTCAAACAAAATGGCCGACGGATTAGTGAAAGAAAGAGAACTGTACTGAGGGAGTGGGATGGCAATATCCGGCTACTTCCGTGTGCCATTATTTGCCGTGCCAAGCCCATACATTTTTATTTTTCTTCTAAGTTGCGCTAGGCTGCACTAAGTGTCCTGTTTTACAAGAAGGCCGCCTCACCAGAGCTCGATGTTCGCTATGGACTAGAAATATTTGTAACATTTGACAGTAAAGTTTGACATCGACGTATAACAAAGAGGTTTCACATGTGCTGATGGCCAGTGCGCCGACACATATTTATGTATAAAGATTGTTCAAAATAGGTTTGTTAGTTCACATTGATTTAGGTAAATACCTGATTATAAATATTTTCATATAAGTACAACTAGCTACTTTGGCGCGTTTTCACTCGCTGCTGATAGCTTAAAGATCGCTCAAGAACATTGTAGCTATCTATCAGTGAAAGAATTTTGTAAATCTGACCAGTGGGTCCAAAGATTACCTACCCCTACACACAAACTTAAATATTTACCTCTTCATAGTATAGATTTTGAAGCATTTTTTAGATAAAAATACATGATAGTGTTCATTGACTTAATTATCTAAAGCGATGGACCATAGTAAGTATGACAAAACATCAAAGAAGAAATTGTTTATTTCAATATATTCCTGAAAAGAAGCTCTTGTTTCCTCAATTACTAATATGTACTTACCAACATAAGTTTTAATTATAAAAAGCAATCACATAATTTATATTTTACATTCATATAAAGGATCGTATGACTTAGAGAATAATGTTCTTTTTCCAGTATATTTGCTGAATTCGCTCTGCTACTGACGTATGCGGGAGTATGCTGTATCTACACTGTATTGATATCGGATTCAGTTAAACAGGTTTGTTAAGAAATTAAATTTATTTAATTCCTTGTTAACTTATTTCAACTATGATGCTTACAAATTATGTCTCAAAGACATGCATTAAATAAATTTCCTTTAAAACTCACTTTTATGTTTTGCTAATTATCTACTTAATTAACTCATTTTGAATTTTAGTGTAGTTATTATTATTTATTATTAAAGGATAAGGGTATATTGACTTACATTGAGTTGAGCCCAGTTTCAGACAGCATGCTTATTGGGAAAATTAACTATCATGGTAACGTACATACAACTACAAATTAACTTGTCATAAACCAGTATATTATGGGCTCGCGTTTTTTCTACTTTCTGCACATTCAACGGTCAACATACGCTGGCCGATCATAGTTTAATGTGTAGCCATATGGTAGTCTCTCTATTAAGTGCACCAGTCAAATGATACAGCCAAAATTTATTCAAAATAATACCATTTATTACTATGTTTGTATAATAACTATCGTGTCATGTACTAAATTAACTAAAAACATCAACTTATTGAATGAATTAACACGGATAAGCTCTAATACTTTCAAGTCAGAACGGGACTCTTATTCATGAGCAGAGACCGCGTCGCGTTGATATTATGACTACAGAAATTGTATTTTTTTTAAGAAACTTTTTTTTACTTCCGTATTGTTTGACGTAACATCAACAAACAAATTATAGACTGCCAGTCTACAATAACATCTGCATCGAGAAATTAAAAAAAATCATAAACTGTTTCTCTTTACTCTAATGTTTATCATTTAATGACACATTGATAACTAGTTAAGCTTTCTTGATACATTTTAACGCCTGGCAATAAATGTCACTCCAAATTTACGTAAATGGGTGACTAAGTTTTTATGACTAAAGAATTTATAACTAGAGTGACGTTGTAGGAGCTACAAATGGAAAATAGTACGGTAAATAAAAGAAACGTACACTTGACAACACAAAAAAACTGTTTGATTTTAAAGTATTTAAATTTAGAATGTGTTCCTACACTATTTTATCAATTAAAAGTGTGAGAGATTTTTCATACGGAATGTTTGTTATGATTTCCTCGAGTAATTCCACAACGATCATAATATTACATAACTCCATTATAATATGGGACTAATCCTTTGTTTTATTAGCGGGCGATAAAGAAAAAATATTATTAAAATACTTTGTGTGAGAAAATATTTGTAAAGCCATAGGTACCGGAAGCATTCATGCATAATATACAAAAAAATAAAGAGTATATACATCTGATTACATCTTAATCCACTCTCTTCAAACAGATTAATTACGAACATACAGCTTAAATCGTCTCATATTGTAATAAACAATAGGCTTAAACACAATACTATCAGTACCATATATACATATATATACTAGCTACTCTCGCGCGGTTTCATCCGCTGCTCTGCTCCATTTGATCGTAGCGTGGTGTTTTATAGCCTATAGCACTCAGGAACATTGTAGCTACCTATCAGTGAAAGAATTTTCACAATCCGACCAGAGGTTCCAAAGATTACCGCCTACATACAAACTTACAAATTTTACCGCTTTATAATATTAGTATAGATAAAAGTGACCTTGACATTTAGATTAAGCATAATATTATTATAATACTGTCTATTATTATCTAGTTTATTAGTATATAGTATATTAGTATATAGTATATAGTTTTTATTATTATTAGTATATAGTTTCGTAATTAAATTATAAGTTGCCCACAAATAAACAATAATTTTGAATTACTTTCTTTTCTACAGTAGCAGGTATTTATATTTTGTTATTTTGATTGAGAATTGTCAACTTGTCAACTTCTCGTCACTTAGATGTCAAAGTCACTGATCGCATCTAAATTCAGTTCGTTCAGAAATCATCCATTGATACGTCCTATTGCTAGGACATGGTTTTTTTCTTGCTTCTTTGTTATTTGATTTTTTATTGTTAAATTATATATATTTTTTTAATGCTTTCTGTACTTTTTTATAATTATTTATTATTATTGTTGTTTACATTATATTGGTGTTAACTGGCGGGTGGAGTTGAATTAGTTAATTTTAGAGTTTGATTTTTTTTTTTTACTTTATATTCATTATTTTTATTTTTAATTTAGTTTTAATTTATTTTTAATATATATTAATTATTTATGTACTCTGACGATGACTGTTATCATTCTGCCAATGATTCCTTAAATGCGAGCAATAGTGATGTTAGTTTCTGTTCTCTGACTGATACACTTGGGGATACCTTAAGAGCTCAATTCAATCGGTCTGATAAGGTGTTCAACGTGTGTCACATTAACGCACAAAGTGTTCCTAGTCACTATAGTGAACTCATTGCGACCTTCTCCAACAGCAATGTGCATGCCATCCTGATTTCTGAGAGCTGGCTCAAACCAAATCTCTTGTCCACCTCGTACCCTCTTCCTGGTTTCGTTCTTATTCGGAATGATCGGCTTGGGAGAAGAGGGGGTGGCGTGGCAATATACCTTCGATCAGACATTCCTTATAAGATCCTGGCTAAATCGTCTACTCCACTGCATAGCGCTGAATTTCTTTTTTTGGAGGTTTCAGTTAAAGGAGCCAAGGCTGTCGTTGGTGTTGTTTATTGCCCCCCCTCTCTCGACTACTTCACTGATTTGGAATCGGTTTTAGAATCGCTGGGTTCTGAGTATGCACATTACATCATCATGGGAGACTTCAATACAAATCTCCTTGCTCCTAACTCTCCTCGTACCCGTAAACTCTTGCAAGTGTTGGAATCATGTAGCTTACGTGTTCTACCTCTTCAGGCTACACATCAATCTACAATCGGTAATGATTCCTGGCTAGATTTAATTCTGACGTCTAACCCTTCCCTTATTTCCTCTCACGGTCAATATGCTGCTCCCGGTTTTTCTTATCACGACCTCATTTTCCTTTCCTACATCCTTAAACCTCCAAAGCCTAAGCCTAGGATTTTGCACAGGCGTTGCTTTGCAAGGATGGATGCTGATCGGCTGCTTAAGGATGCGCAGAGCATCGATTGGACACCACTGATGAGCTCCGATGCTGTGGACGAGAAACTTCAGATTTTGAATAACATGGTGAACATTTTATATGATCGTCATGCACCAATTAAGAGTGTCAGATTGAAACGGCCACCTGCACCGTGGATGACAGAACTTATAAAAATAGCAATGCGTAGAAGAGACCGTGCGTTTCGGAAATTTAAAAAAGAGCGCACTGATGAAACCTGGTCTCAGTTTAAAACTGCAAGGAATCGGTGTAATATGATGATCCGTAACGCTAAACGCCGCCATATACTCAATAATATATCGTCATCGTCTTCTGCTGATATCTGGAAGTTCCTTGGATCTTTGGGTATTGGCAAATCGCGACATTTCGACCTGCCTAACACAATTAGTTTAGATGCTTTAAATAGTCATTTCTCCACTTTTTCTCATCTGGACTATTTAGTAAAGCAGGATACTATACATTTTTTATCTGGTCTAACGCGTCCCGACATCAAATGTTTTGATTTTACGCCAGTTGATGAGGAAGAGATCAAAAAAATTATCCTATCCATCAAATCTAAAGCGGTGGGGTGTGATAACATCAGCCGTCATATGATTGTCTCTATCCTTGTCCCAATCCTTCCTGCTGTCACCTATATAGTAAATTTTTCTTTCTTCTCTGGAGTTTTCCCCTCACTTTGGAAGAAAGCTTACGTGCGTCCTCTTCCCAAAATTTCCAGCCCTTCTCTTCCCAGTCATTTTCGTCCGATTTCTATCTTGCCATTTCTATCCAAAGTGCTGGAGGCTTGTGCTCATAAGCAGTTTGCGCGTTTTATTTATAGCAACAACCTCATGAGTCCGCTGCAATCCGGATTTAGGCCAGGACATAGCACTTCCTCTGCCCTCCTTAAAGTGACTGGCGATATTAGAACTGCTATGGAAGACGCTAGTGTCACTGTGTTGGTGCTAATAGATTTCTCTAATGCGTTCAATACCGTCTGTCACGATATCCTTTTGTCTATCCTGTCCCATATTATGGTCTCTTCTAAGTCATTAGACTGGTTTTCATCCTATCTTCGGGATCGCCAGCAGTCAGTTCAGGTGGATGAAGGTTCATCGGCATGGTGTACTTTGGATGCTGGCGTTCCTCAAGGCGGCATACTTTCACCTCTATTATTCTCTATATTTATAAATTTCCTTACTTCTGAACTTCAGTGTTCGTATCATCTCTATGCCGATGACTTGCAGTTGTATCGTCACACTAAGGTAAGCGAACTGGAAGTTACTCTCAGAAAAATGAACGAGGATTTGGAGTTGGTAAGGAACTGGTCTCATAGGTTTGGAGTGACAGTTAATCCTGGCAAATGTCAAGCCATAATTATTGGTAGCTCAAGAATTGTGGGTAAAATTGACGCTCTTGACTTGCCAACTGTTGTCTTTGATGGTACAAATATACCGTACAGCTGCACTGTAAAGAATCTTGGCCTACACCTTGACTCCTCACTCAATTGGCAAGCACAAGTTGCAGCTGTCAGTCACAAAGTCACAAATATGTTACGGTTCCTCTATCGCTTCAAAAACTTGCTACCGTTCAGTGTAAAGGCGACGCTTGTGCAAACTCTTATCTTCCCTATAATCGACTATGGTGATGTTTGCTACTTAGACCTGAATGCAGATCTGCTCAATAAAATTGACCGGCTTCTCAATAATTGCATTCGATTCGTCTTTAATCTCCGCAAGTACGATCACGTGTCAGCGTATCGAGCGCAACTAAAATGGCTACCGATAAGACAGCGACGTGAGATGAGGGCATTAACTACTCTTTTTTCTATTCTCCATACACCCTCTTCACCTTCCTATCTAACTTCACACTTTCAGTATGTTTGCTCGCAACACAACAAAAATCTCCGTTCTTCTAATAATCGCCTTCTGCACTGCCCTGCCCACCGTTCAGATACTATGCACTCTTCCTTTTTCGTTAAACCCATTCTTCTCTGGAATGAGCTACCTTTGGAGGTCAGGATGGTAGATAGTAAGAACGCTTTCAAATTGAAACTACGAGATCACATCCGGAAGAAATTGGCGGATTCTCCACAATAGTTTATTATCGACACTTTTTTTCCGTGGAATATGATAATATGTACCTATGTATTGTATATTATTATGTATACGTATAGTCTGTGATATATATATATATATAACATATTTATTGTATTTATATAATGTATAGGTATACATATATTTATATTTATTGATATATGTATATGTATGAGCAATAATTTTGTAGCATGTGTTTTTTTTTCTTTCCTTATTTTCATCAAAAAGATGCACCTACCACTCCTATTTCTCCACCACCCAAAGGTAGACTGGCAGAGAACGCCTAAGGCGTTAAGTCCGCCATTGTACGTTGTGCAAGAAGTGTGAAATAAATAAATAAATTATCTGCTCTAGGATGTTTAATAGTATTGTTTTTCAAGAAGGTTTAGATGCCCGCTTCTCATGCATGAGGAAGAGGGTTCTAAATCTGTCAAGTACCAATGTGACTTTCCAATTACATGTACTTTCTAATTAAGACACCAATGACATATGATGAAAAAAAACATCTTGAGAAAACCTTTTAATTGTTAATTCGAAATCGCCTAACCCGATTCGAGCAAGCGTGTTAATGCTCACAGCTTCTTCGTGTGATAAGATGCCTTTACTTAGCGATGGGCACTTATAGGTTGATGAGGTGTGTTGTTTAACACATTAAACGCTGTGTCGTGACTATGGTGTCACTAGAGGAAGATTAGCCTTTATATGTTTTTATTTCGTGAGACATTCTAAATTAATTATTATGTTTTCGGCTTACTCACGTAATAATTTGACGAGATACTCTACAAACGATTATACATATATATGTAGCAGCGTGACAGTCGCCGCGTCGCGTGTCGTAGAGTGCTGCTCATGAATATGGGCCTCTAGCATGGCTTGAAACTAATCGAGTAGCTCGTCAGATTATTACGTGAGTAAGCCGAAAACATAATAATTTATCTGTTTTGTCGGAAGTCAAAGGCGTTAAGAAAAACGAAAAGTAACTGAAACTTTTTTCCTTTTCAGTTGGTCGATCGTTATGCGCCATCTACCATTCTTCCAGTTGAATACTACTGTCTTATGATACTGGTGCCAATAATATTACTATGTCAGATCAAGTATCTGAAGTTCCTCGCGATATTCTCTGGAATCGCCAACATTTTACTGTTTACCGTATACGTGGTCTGTCTGTACTATATCTTTGGAGGCGACATAACGTTCGAAGGGAAACAAGCTGCTGGGGACCCCGCAAGATATCCAGCGTTTTTGTCGTAAGTTTAATTTTCTTACTAAACTTATCTTAGTATATTTTTTTTTTTTTTCGTTTATTAAACAACCACATTGATACAATCATATTAACCTGTATATACATACCAGCAAAAACCATCGAGGGTTTAACAGCGATATGTTAGAAGCGACAATATAATATTATATTATTATATGCGAGAGTTACGATGTTTATATTTAATTCGATTCCTGATTTGACATTGACCACTGTCATTTTGTGAAATAATGATACCACATATAACAGTGTAGTGATGAACACAAAAATCGATAAACAATCAGTGAATCAGTTTCAGGAAGGCATTCAAAAAATTACGGCTACCGGATGGTCTAAATGTGTATCCCATGTTTTCAAAGAAGAGGAAAAAATGAGTAAGCTAGATATGTTAATTGACAATAAATATCAAAGACACAATTCATAATAAATGTTACATAGAGTAACGGCGATAGCGATAGCGATGACGGCGACAATTTATAAAATGTCTGTTTTATTTGTCACGTTCCTTCATGATCACATTTTTTATTAATTTCACACACAATTACAAAAGAAAAGTCTCAGATCGTTAATTAATTGTCAAAACTAAATTGTCGGTTCAGAAATATTTTATTTCCTGATAAACTTAGTTTACGAGAGTAAATTTATAAACGAGAGGAATCGATTCAGAAATATTCGATTTCCATATCGAATAATTTCGCAACGTCACTATTTATTACGTGTCATAACGTTGCAACACTGAAATTGTCAAATCTGGAATGGAATTAAAATTCCGAGTATAGTTATTTTGACTGCACGGTTGGCGCGGTGGCTAGGCAACTGGCTGCCGCGCAACCTGTCGCGGGTTCGATTCCCGCACGGAACAACTCTTTGTGTGATCCACAGATTGTTGTTCCGGGTCTGGGTGTGATGTGCATGTGAAATTGTATGTTTGTAAACGCAACCACAACACAGTAGAAAATCCTAGTGTGGGGCAACGTTTATATAACTAAAAAAAAAGATTTGGATGTTTGTTAATCAAACACGCCAAAACAGCTGGACGGATCTGGAAGAAATTTAGCACAGGCATATAACATTTTTATCAACCGTCGTCGGGCCCGCGGGTGAAAGCTGATAATTTATACTTTTTTTAAACACAATTAGTTATTAATAAGTTTTACCTTTATTAATACATTTTAATTTTATTTGTTTAGCCCTAACTCAAATTTCAGTCTTAGGTTTAAGTATTTTATAGTTTGTTGCTACCTATTTCTTTTTCTCCTGTTTTTTTTTACACTTAGTGTCATATGTCTCTTAAATTCTTCCTTTCGAAGGATTGCAGGAAGAGATTCCAAATAGAAATGTGCTGTACCTATGTACTTCAGTTTCTGAATGTTTTCCTATTTAATCTATGTGTGATGTGGATAAACAATAAAAAAAAAAATAAATAACATTTCAGGACAGTCATTTTCGCAATGGAAGGAGTAGGAGTAGTGATGCCAATTGAGAACACGATGAAGAAGCCACAGAACTTCCTCGGCTGCCCTAGTGTGCTGGTGGTAGCTATGGGGGCCATCGTCTTCCTCTACGGCACTCTCGGAATGTTTGGATACCTCCGATATGGAGACGTGTTACGAGGATCTATTACTCTTAACCTCCCGACCGATGAATGGTAAATTTACTATAATATGCGTATATACATATAGATTGGTATATTGTCACACAAAACATTTTCAAAAGTTTTCCTGAAACATTGAATCTACTATAATATTGTGCAGATATTGGCTCATACACACGTCTGATTGAGATGAAATGAAGTCACAATCGCTATACATACAAACAAACTTTCAGCCAGAAGCTTCACTACTTTCCATAATCTTTTTTTTGTGCCGATAATATTAAAAATTATCTAGGCTATACCTACGAGTACCTACATACTTATTGAAAACCTCGATCAATACAGTTAAGCTACGAATATAAATAATGAAGCATAACTAAAAATACTTTTACTAAATTAACCATTTATGACTGCGGTGGCGGTGACTTATAAAAACTGTTCCAGATCTGCCTAAATTCTTTGCCACTTTATTTAATTCCGTGATGATAATTATTTCATCTTTTGTTTTCAGGCCGGCTGTGTTAGCAAAGGTTTCTATAGCATTATCAATATTCTTGACATACCCATTGCAATTCTACGTGGTGATTGATATCTTCACGAGGTACACACAGCCTCATATAAAGGAGAATTATCAGCAGATAACTCAAATAGTGGCCAGGACGATAGGAGTTTGCTGTTGTGGTAGGTCCATAGATAAACTATATATATATATCTATAAATATATAAAAATGAATCGCAAAATATGTTGGTAAGCGCATAACTCAATAACGCCTGGACCAATTCTACTGATTCTTTTTTTGTTATGTGTGTTATTGTGAGGAGAAGGTTCCTATGAAAGAAAATTTTAGGAAAGTAGAGGGGAGAGTTGTGTAATAGGGACCCTTTCATCGTCAGCGAGATGATGAGACCTGTGCGAAGCAGGGGCAAGCTGCTAGTGTATATATAAAAATCAATGTCACTTTTCGTTGTAATGTTATAACTCAACAATGCCTTTACCGATTCGGCTAATTTTGGTCTTGAATTATTCGTGGTAGTTCAGGGAAGATTTAAAAGATCAGAAAGTTTGCCAGGTCAACTAGAAGAAAATGAAAAAATGTGTTGGTAAGCGCATAACTCAACACATAATGCATAACATGTATAACTCACGCCTGGACCAATTTTGACAATTGTTTTTGTTGTGTTTGTAATTATAAGGAGAAGGTTCTTATGAAAGAAAATTTTAGAAAATTAGACATTATATCTGGGAAATAAGGACCCTTTCGTCGTTAGCAAGATAGTTGGAGACCCGTGCGAAGCAGAGGCAGGCCGCTAGTAATAAGTATATAATGTCCCCATATGACCTCGTTTAGATATTATTATTTCACACTTCGGTGGTGCCACAAGACACGTGAAAAGACGTGTAACTTATTCAATATTTATTTAAAATAAAAAAATATCATCTATTTATCAGTTTAAGACACTCAACAAATTGTACTGTTATAATTTTTAAGTGGTAGTGTTATATGCTAACAATGGTTGGATACCGATATCTGTGTAAATCGTTTTTCTTTTTCCTAAATTTCGAGCAAATCATGTCATTGTTAATGATTGCTTTCAATCAGATGACCCGTCGTATCGTTAGCTGATGTATCCCTTAAGAAAACTACACATATCTAACGTAATTTTCAGAAGATATTGGAATACCCAAAGAATAGCATATACAAAATCATTAAATACAAATCGTAGGACTAAGAATCGAATGATAGCAACGAACTAATGAAAAACACAATCAAGACAGGAAAAAAAAGGTTTTTTTATTTTGAAAACCTCATTAGTGTTGTTAGCACTGGCGGTGATTTACCTTGTACCAGAAAGTCAAAAAAAAAAAAAAAAAGTCAAAAATCATTTATTTCAATTAGACCACAGTAGGCACTTTTGAACGTCAAGCAAGCAAAAAAGGAAAAAAGTATATAACATGAGCTTTAAAATTAAGCATGTCAGTCTGTCCGTCTGTCCTCTAGTGAAGCTATTTGCTCGTTCCAAAGTGTAGATTCCTATGGAGAAGAACGAGCAAGAAACTCCATGGTTACTCTTTTTCAATCAGTTTTACAATACATTTCTTTGTTACATCATTTAGTTGGTTCTGATATGTGAGAACAATGTAACACTAATGTTCAGGCAAAAGGTACGAAAAAGAAGTGAACCTCAAGGACAACATATTTAGACAGCCTGGAGATGACCAGTCCCAATAGGCGGCGCCCGTTCACGAACATGACACGTACACCAGCAGCGCCCAACTCAACCATATTATAGGGAATTGGGCGATCCAGTGGCCGTGCCACCGCCAATGAGACCTCTAAGTGAGCATGACAGCTCCCAGCCGACACAAGTACCTATATTCTACAAGTCTTACTTAATTATAATAGGTTACAGGGTACTCACATTTACAAAAACTTAGAAGTTCATCAACAATTAACAACATAGTGTACAATTTAATAATTAAAATCAAAAATTCCTCTAAACATCCTGTGGAGTAGGACCAGCTAGCCTCCAAGCATTTTTATCTTGTATATAATCATTTAGTTTGTAGTATGCTAGTTTACATAAATGTTTCTTTATACATAATTTAAATTTGCTTTCATTTAGATTTTGAATTTCAACTGGGATTTTATTATAGCATTTAACACAGAAACCCAGGAATGACTTATGCACTTTTGCCAATCTAAATAAAGGCTGACTCAATCTATTCCTATGTCTAGTATGATAATCATGTTTGTCAGATACCTTTACAAATAAGTGTAGGTTTTTCCTAACATACATAATGTTTTCATAAATAAATTGACTCGGTACGGTCAGAATGTTGATCTCCTTAAACTTTTCTCTGAGAGATTCGCGACGACCTAAGTTATATATAGCTCTGACGGCACGCTTTTGCAAGATAAAAATAGACTCAACGTCGGATGCCTGTCCCCACAACAGAATTCCATACGACATGATGCTGTGAAAGTAGCTAAAGTACACTAGTCTTGCCGTGCCTACATCGGTTAGCTGTCGGATCTTCCAGACAGCATAAGCTGCAGAGCTCAATCGTCCTGCTAGAGACCTGATGTGGGGCCCCCATTGCAACTTCTCATCTACAGTGATCCCCAGGAAAGTAGTCTCTTTTACAAATTCTAGTTTCTGATCATTTAATAATATATCATCACATACGTTTCTTTTAACATTTGGTAAAATAAATCTAATGCATTTAGTCTTTTTATCATTTAGTAGTAAGTTGTTTATTGTAAACCAATTTTGAACCTTCATTAAGGCATTATTAACTTCGTCATATTTCTTTGTTCGTCTATTTATTTTAAAAATCAATGAAGTGTCATCAGCGAATAATACCATATGCGGTTCATTTTGAAACAAATGGGGCAGGTCATTCACATAAACTAAAAATAGAAAAGGACCTAATATTGAGCCCTGCGGTACGCCCATAGATACGCTAGCACCCAGTGAGTTAACTTTGTTGACTTGTACTTTAATTTTTCTTTCTTGAAGGTATGATTTCAATAAATCTAGGGATACCCCCCGAATGCCGTAGTGTTCTAGCTTCAGTAACAGCGTCTCGTGCTCAACACAGTCGAATGCCTTTGAAAGGTCGCAAAATATTCCGATGGCATCCTGTGCTTTTTCCCACGAGTTGAAAACTTGTTTTATAAGTGATACTCCTGCGTCCGTAGTGCAACGTCCTTTGGTGAACCCGTATTGATGGTCATGGAAAATAGAATTCGTGTTAAAGTGACGCAGCATTTGAGTAAGCATCAACCTTTCGAACACTTTACTGAGCACTGGCAAAATAGAGACCGGCCTATAGTTATTAGGTTCTGTACTATCGCCTGATTTAAATAATGGAACTACTTTACTATGTTTCATTAAATCCGGGAAAACCCCTTGATCTACACTTTTATTAAAAATGAAAGTTAAGTGCGGCGCAATAGTCTCTATAAACGACCTGCACACTCGAACAGACATTCCCCAAAGATCTTCAGTTGACTTTACTTTGATCTCATTGAACGCCTTTATTACTGCCTGGGGGGTTGTGTATTGAAAGCTAAAGTCAGAAGGACATTCTTTGACGTTACCCCTGAGAAGCTCGACAGAAAGAGCTGGAGATGATTTTAACGTTTCCGTAGTTTTAAGAGGAATATTTTTAAAGAATCTTTCGAATTCCTGGGCAACTGACGAATTTGAACTAGTATATCCCTTTTCGGTTTTTAAATTAAATTCATTGTTTTGTGATTTATTTCTACCTGTTTCTTTATTAATTATATTCCAGGTAGCTTTTATTTTGTTTTCCGCGGTCCTGATTTTATTACTAATGTGGAGCGACTTAGCATGCTTACATACTATTTTAAATATTTTTGAATATTTGGAAACGTGTCTGCGAAAAGCCTCGCTACTATTAAATGGTTTCAGGCCGTATAGCTCAAATAACCTGTCTCTACTTATACGAATACCTGGTGTAGCCCAGTCACAGAATACAAATTTACACTGAACATTTTTACGTTTTAAAGGAAATAGTTTATCGAACTGTATTTTTATAAGGGATAATAAATTAGCATATATCTCACTCGGGCAATTATTGTCTTGTACTTGGCTGCATAATTCATGTTTTAGCTTATTATTTAATGAATAAATTTTTTTGTATGTGATTTGTCTAAACAATATTTCCTTTTTTGGCACAGTTGTGATAGTATTAAAGTTAACTGTGAGCCCACTGTGATCAGATGGTAATCTATTTACAATTTCACTTTGTAAATAATCACAATTACAGAAAATATTATCTATACAAGTTGCCGAGGTGGATGTTACTCGGGTGGGCTCAAGGAAAACATTAGACAAATCAAATGATTGAAAGAGACTTAACAAGTTTGTGCAATGAGAATTGTTTTCTAAGAGATCAACATTAAAATCGCCACATACTATTGTACATTTACTACTAGAACATGTTTTCCGCAGTACATCTTCCATTACAGAGCGAAAAATATTTAGATTCTGTATGTTAGGAGGCCTATAAACACATACTACAATATGCCTATCCAGCTCAACACAGGACAACTCTATTGTGTGTTCAATTGACAGCAGAGCAATGTCTTGTCTTTCTTTATATTTTATTGAGTTCTTTACTAAAATTAGGCTACCACCATGTATCATTGCTTGGCGGCTATAATTGCTGCCAACACAATAGTTATTGAAGTTAATTGTTTCTACTTGATAATCTTTTAACCAATGTTCAGTTAAACAAATAATATCATATTGGAATTTCTCTAAAAACAATTCCATTTCTAGGAATTTTGATGATAAGCCCTGAATATTTTGACTGTACAATGACAACAAGTTATCTAATTTAGTTTTATGTTTTAATTTAAATTGATGCTTAATAATATTGCCAGAAGAAACCTTTTCAATGAATGTGGATTTTGAGTAATTTAATTGGTTATCTTCTGTTGTCGTGGAAGTCAGTTTAAAAGAATACTATCCGGAGTGCTATCCACATTTGTCAATAAATCTGGAGCCTCCTTCGTACTATTGTATGTACAATTAATCTCTATATTGTTAGATTGTCTAATCAATATAGTTTTGTCACTAAAACTACTTATTAATAAATTAATACTATTTGCTAGCAAACTAGCAATTAATAATTTACATTTCCTGGGAATATACATATAATCCCGGGTCAACTTAAAACCACTAACAAATTTGTTAGTGTCAAAAAATGATAATTTGTCACTATGACAAGAGGTCAAAAAAAATATTAAATTGTTCAGATGATTAATTCTACTATTTTCACTTTGTGACAAAGTGTCAGCATATGGGAATGCACATAACATTATATTCCCTGTGTTTAGTCTTAATAAGGTGTTGATACCATCAGTTATATCCCGCTTGTTTACTCCTGTACTATCACCCATCAAAATCACTATTGGCTGATTTTGTGTGATCTGTTTCTGTGAAATTATTTTAATAATCTGGCCAAATTTTATATTATGATAACAGTAATTAGTTATCCTATAGTTAAGGCAATTGGCAATAAGTGACCCAATACCTGCACCCACTGAGTCCGTAAACACACCAGCGCTGTATGTAACAGCTGCTTGACTCATTGGTTGCTGTACAACTTCTGGCTCAGAAGGTGGAGTGAGGGCACAGCTACAAGAAAGATTATTCGCAAGAGACTCATACCTCTCAGCACTATAAGTTACTAGATCCACAAGTTTACCTGCCTCAATCATATGTTTGTTTATTTCCAATTGGGCAGATTCATATTTTTGGAACATATCATTTAAGAACATTTCTCTTTGTAAAAGTTCTTGTTTAAGAGATTGAACATCGATGTCATATACTGTCCGATGTTGTTTCAAATCACTTTTGCATGATTCAAGTTCTTGCAATAATTTAATTTTTTGTTTTCTTAGGTAAATATTTGTTTTACACAGATTTTGCTTCTTTTTCAGTTTTTTAATGATTTTAGTTAGTTTTATATATTTTTTTAATTTATTGTGGCTATTGAATACAGGGCAAGCACTGATAGTATCATCACCGGTTAAATCAATTGTAATGGCTGGTTCACAAATGTCACCGGATCCACTACCAACCAATTCCTCATATAAACTCTGAGTGTTGATCGACAGCACAGAGTTTTTGGTAGCCTCCAACTTATGGATTACATTTTGTGCTTTTTGGAGGTCATGCTCCAGATGAGTTATGCGTTTAAGAGCATGATCATGTGTGTCGGTACACTGCTTAAAAGTATCAACATTCTTTAATAATTCATTGTGTTGCTCTAGCAGGTCCGTGTGACATGAGTGTAATTCAGCCAATTCGTATTTAAGTTGAGTGTTTTTGTCAATTATGTTTTTCACTTCAACTTCACTGTCATCCCGCTCCTGCAGCAGTTGGTCGCACAGGTGCTTAGAAGATTCCAGCTCCTTGAGTGCTGCCCTCAGTTTGCTCTCCATATCCTTAGACCGAGTCATCATATTGAAATGAAGGGATGGTATTCTGAAATGAAAGAGAAAAAAAAAAGGACAGAAAAAAAACAGGGAAAATTACTTGAAGCTAGGTTTGGATGAAATCTATAAGGTATTAGAAAAATAAGAAAACAAAGGAGTGAATAATAAAGCTGTCAATTATTGAATATGATGAAAAAATTAACTGTTACTATAATGATGAATTTAATTTATTGTATGCAGGTAGTTGGAAAATAAAGGAATTGGATTAATACTTTAAGTTTTCTTAAGATTTGTAATTTGTGATTAATTTAAAGTACAAATAGACTTAATCACACTAATTACACTACTTATTGGGCTAATTTAAATATGTATATTAAAGTATCAAACTTTTTTTCTTTTGTAATGTATCTACAAAAGTATTATTGTCGTGTTTAACAATTTGCCAAGCAAACTGAGACCATCTATATGTTCCTTAGGGCACAATAAGGGCGTCTATTAATTTATATCGATAAAAATAATAGTTATCACTTATACTCCCCTGGTTTAAAGTTTTATTTATATTAAACTTTTGCTCCGTGCGTTGACCACTGACATTTCACAGGAACTTTTCAACTTAACAAATTAATTCTTAACCAAATCACAACGCATACAATGCCTCTGGTATTTTTGCAATTACTTCAACGTAGTAGTATATAATTTACACAATAAAATCACTTAAAACTAATTTTAAAAAATAAATTTAAATAAGAGGTCGAGTTTAGACAACCGACCACCAGTGTTGTCAGCACGAAAAAAAAAAAAAAAAAAAAAAAAAAAAAAAAAAAAAAAAAAAAAAAAAAAAAAAAAAAAAAAAAAACAAAACCAGTAACAGGTCTTTCTATGAGTAACTTAATGTATTGTCCAATACAATGATGACAATATATGTAGTTTATATATCACATTTAACGTTAAAAATATTGTATGTATGGGTTATTATTCACACGATTTGAATACCAACCAATGCCAACTGAAAATAAATGTCGAGTTCCGATTAGAAAAAAATCTATGAAGAAAGAACAATATATACGAGAGGATAATGCTAACACGGTTGGCGCGGTGGCTGGGCAACTGGCTGCCGTGCGTCGTGTCGCGGGTTCGATTCCCGCACGGAACAACACTTTGTGTGATCCACAAATTGTTGTCTCGGGTCTGGGTGTCTTGTGTATGTGAAATTGTATGTTTGTAAACGTACCCACGACACAGGAGAAAATCCTAGTATGGGGCAACGTATTTTAAAAAACAAAACAAAAAAAAAACAAATACTATATAACAAACAAATCAAAAACAAGTAAACTTACACGTAAATCCGCAAATTTTTCATAGATGCCATGGAAAAAGTGACCTTGTAACTTGGTACCATGAAATCCTAACACGTTGCATGCGTGTGACAGCCCTACTAATTAATCGACGTTTAAACCACTGATTACAAATGTCGGTCAATTGTGACGAGTTATGATATTTTTAATTTAATATTACTGACTCGAACGGATTAAATTGATTCATTAAAAACCTATTAAAGATAAGAGGAATAGTGAAATATTAAGTTTTGTATAGTCAACTTTATTTTGCATTGATATGTTATCGGTATCAGAGATACACCTCCCATATCGAATAATATTACTGTTCAATGAATATCCTAATTGATCATCATTCGTCGCTTTATCGCTACATTTAAGTATTATAACACTTGTATGGGATTTATCCACGTAAACATTGAAGAGAATCTACTGATAGAATTCTAAACAGTTACAGTCTACTGTTTTATTGTCTTGATTAACTTTCCATAACTAACTAAAGTAGCTAATATTTACGATACAATAATGTTATAACAAATCACTTCTTTTGTTTCCCAAAGGGAGGCAGAGGTCTTATAAATTGCATGTATGTATATGCCAATATATTGTCGTGATGGCCCGGAAGTTAAGAGGCCCGCTTGTCATACATGAGGGTGTGGGTTCGAAACCTGGCAAGTACCAATGTGACTTTTTTCGAGTTATATGTACTTTCTATGATTATTAAGACACCACTGACATACGGTGAAGGTAAACATCGTGAGGAAACCTGGACTTATAATTTCTAATTATAAGTTTGAAATCGCCAACCCGCATTGAGGAAGCGAAGTGATTAATGCTCTAACCTTCTCCGTGTGAGAAGAGGCCTTTGCTCAGCAGTGTGCACTTATAGGCTGATAATGATGATGATGATATGCCAATATTATAGAATGGCATTGTTTAATATTACATTAAAACAATGTAAACTAAATTTCAGAACGATTATTGAGAATATTTACAACCCTAGTATGAAAAAAAAACTTAATATAAGCGTAACTGACACACACTTATGTAAATAATTATCCTTCACTTATACTTACAGTCACCAAATCGGATATTGTTACAAAAATCTTAACAAACCAATTGTATGTTATTTTACAGTGGGGATCGGGATGGCGCTTCCCCTCCTGGAGCAAATCCTCAACATAGTTGGAGCTCTATTCTACTCAATCCTTGGCCTCGTGATCCCAAGTGTCATAGAAACAGTCTTCAAATGGGATAACCTAGGCAAATGGAACTGGATACTTTGGAAGAATGGATTCATCTTCTTTTTCGGGCTGTTCAGCCTTTTATCAGGATGTACCGTCACAATAATGGATATAATCAAGATTCTGAACGAGAAAACCGAATAACAATAGCAATTTTCTTGTAGATAAATATACTTAGTATTAAATTGTAAATTATGTACAACGAGTGTCTCATTGTTGACGTGTCCCAAAATGAAACGTTTAACTCACAAGGTTACAATTTAAGACAATTACCGTGTTTAATATCTTAGTGCTAGCTGCTGCTACTGTTTGGAAGTTCCCAAATTTTGTTTACAGAAAAATCTTCAATTTAGCTCTTATTTTTAATGTTCCACGGTTATGTTAGTAGTCTGCTTGTAAATAAACAAATTAAGTATGGGAGAGTTATACTTCGTCACGAATGGGTCGGCACGACCGGAGTGATATCATGGCCTTTCAAAAAACAAACAAACAAACAGCGTTGTGTTTCGCTGTATGAGTGAGGTTACCAGAAGTCCAATTCTTTCCCTCACCTAAACCCTAAATATCCGAAATCCTAACCCACAAAAGGTTGCCAACGCACTAGTCTCGCACTACTTATTTGGTGTTACAGGTGTCTATAAGCGGCGCCGATTGCTTACCTACCTGGTGGTATCCATCTGTCCATCCATCTATCGTGTACTCGTTGACCATCCTATTACAAAAATAAATTTCAAATACCTATATTCGTAATATTTCCTTAATACGTGGTCTCTATCTTACAAAGTATTTCTTAAGTGAGTAGCCTCAAAACAATCGGTAGAAATACAGGATGTATCTACTTGATGAAGAAATGGGCTAACAAACTCTCGCGTATCTGTGACTTCTATTTATCAATAATTAAACACAAAACGTTACACTTGACATAACGCGGACACTTATCCAATGACATTACGTCAGGTTTGCTTGTAGTTTTTACTTATAAAAGATTATGGGCACGCACGTGTAAAAAATATTCAAATACTTTGTACGATTGAAGTTTTGGATTTCACTGATGAGGTTTTAAGTTGCACGTGATTCAGCATTATGTATGTGCCTGTGTCAATGGAATATGATCAATAAATTGACAGGTGCAAGTTGTATAACTCCTTGTCGGTTGACTAGTGAATAGTTAATTGTAATGTCATAAAATCTTAGGCTCGATTCCAAATAAATTTAAAATACTGAATTTTTTTCAACCGAGTTAAGCAAGGGCGGGCGGTTAGTTTTCAATAAACATGCTGAATATTGGTATTTTTTTTTATTTTTAGGTATATCATAAAATATATCAATCAAATGTTATACTGCTGAAAAGTAATAACACTTACATGTATAATTAAATTTCCAAAAAAATATGATATATGATAGAATCAATGTTTTATGAATACCTTTATCCAAAAATCCAAAATAATATTAAGAATGAGAAAGTTAGTCTGTCTGTCTGCCTTTTCTTCACGCCTAAATTATTGAATCGATTTCTGTGAAATTTGGTACAGACATAGTTTGGATAGACGTACTTTTATGGCAAAAATTTGCAGGAAGTCATTATTCCACGCGAACGAAGTCGCGGGCAAAAGCTAGTAGTTAATAAGAATAGACGTTAGATATGATTGTTCAGGGAAAACTAACCATTAAAAAGTGAATACTTACTATATATATTCAGATTCACGGAATTACCCAAGTAAATATATGTAGGTACCATGTCATTTAATATCCATAGGTATCATCATAAAATTTACGAGTACGATTATAGCATATTGACATCATACCTACTAGTTATTTCATGGTGTATACCTGCATTCATCTACTTAGAAACAAAAGGACGTACTGCATTTCTGCAGTACTTGCAGCCACGGAAAATTTAATCGAAATTCTCTCGAAATAAGAGCCTATGACTGCACGGTTGGTGCGGTGGCCGGGCAACTAGCTGCCGCGCAACGTGTCTCTGTTTCGATTCCCGCATAGAACAATTCTTTGTGTGATTCACATATTGTTGTTCCGGGTCTGGGTTTGATGTGTATGTGAAATTGCATGTTTGTAAACGCACCTATGACACAAAATCCTAGTTTAAGGCAACATCTTACTAATATTATAAATGCGAAAGTTACAATGTTTGGATGTTTGTTACTCAATCACGCCAAAACGGCGAGACGGATTTAGATGAAATTATGCACAGACATAGGATACACTCCGGAATAGGACATGGGCTTACTTTTTATCAACATACCTTCGCTTGATATCACATACTTTAGGGTCCTGAAGTTAGTTTTACATAAAAAAGAGCCAGCTAGTCATTGTACTGTTTTAATACACTTGTATGTTAAGGATGTTTTCAATAACCTTGATTATCATCACGTTGTATTATTTAAAGTACTCTCTTCAAAGGTTGTCTCGGAAACATTGTAAACAGCGATAAGAAAGGCGTCAAATTTGGATACAATTTTATTAAAACATTTGTCTAATTATTCACTTAAGGTGTTAACCTTTTTTGGTAATTACGAGTCTTCAAAAGGCGTCTAGTCTTCTTTTGGTGAAGAGACTGAGGTCTGCAGGATTCTTTATTTAATTGCAACTGACATACAGTGAAGGAAAATATCGTAAGGAAATCTGGACTTATGTTTTCTATTTATTATAAGTATGAAATCGCTAATCAGTTTTAAGCAAGGAAAAGGATGATTAAATTTCAAAACCTTTTTCGTGGTAGCTTAACCCTTAACTTAGCAGAGGGGACATTATAAGCCAATAATGTGTGAATGTGAGATTTTATTTTTAATTAACCTACCCCTTTGGTCCCCGTCAACACATTTGAGGGAGCACTGAGTCTTCCAATTGCTATGGTGAGCTGAACTACTTATTTAGATCAAGTTCCTTTTTGTGCAACGCCTGTTTATCCATTCTCTATGAATTCACTTAACATACGTTTAACATTTGTATTATTAACTATACTTGACCACTTCTTATATTACCACAGACATTTTGAACATTTAGATAGACGTCATACGACTTAGGTTTATTTAAATTAAAACTCTAAAACTTTGTACTCTTAGGTACATAATACAGAAAAAATGTAAATAGGAGAAGAGGGCCACGAAGTGGTGATTTGTAAAAATTGTAACTACAACAACAGTCATTCACACATTTATATTGATAATCTTACAGCCATGTTGTCATGAGTTAGTGCCTAGATTGCGTTCGGTACTCGTCACGTGGATCTATAAGAACGGCGATGGAGAATCAGTCGGCTTTAGTACGTGTTTACTGTGACCGCGTCTCCTCACTTTTCTTAAGTATTTGCAACTAAATATTCATCGATATAAAACATGCAGAACCAATGTAATTCGATTCGTCGAAGAAATTTAATCAAATAAATTACATTAAATTGTTTATTCAAGGAACAATAATTTCAGTGAATTGCAACGTTTGTTTAATACCTACCAACAAATATAAATAACAATAAAAGTGATTATCAAAAGTGTTTGGACAGTTTCTAATCCCAGTTATTAAGTTAATCTACGTTTTCCTTAATTCTATGTCGCTGTGAGAAGTTTTATTTGATGAGCATTTTCCTAGCAGATTTTTATCACTTTAATGACAAAACTCAGAAACGTTATCCTTCTCAAGAATGTATCTTTCGTAAAAGATAAGGGTTAATGACTGTAAAACATTTGTTAGAGCAATCGTCAATACAAATAAGAAAAAGTGTGCAACCTTCACGTACTGACGCATAATTAAAATATTACAGTGATATCTAAAGATACCGGTGGTGAAGTGGACGCTAAATGCTGTTTACTGACAATAATAACGTAGTGCATTATCTGCAGTTTCAGTCAATGTTACTGAATAACTGACTGAATACCGGAAAATTAAAAAAACTCAAATCATTTCCCTGTGAGCTACTTCTAGTTTATAAACATGGGTGAAAAAGAAAAAAATAAAGACATTGAAGAATACAACCCCTTTGAACATCGACAGGTTGTAAAACCGAATTCGTAAGTAATATTATATCTTACATAATACCATAAAAAACCAGAATGAACCTACATTTTTTATTGGTAGAGATAAGCATGGCATTAATTCAGGTTTTAATTATACGTTCTCGGATAAGCAAACAGACAAGTGATTGTTATTTTCCTCTATCAGTGAAATTATTGTCATGTAACGTTCAAATTTAAATAATTCTAGAGATCTCTTGCAATCCTGTACATCGATTGGTTGGATCCCAAAATATGGTTGTTATGTTGCGTCACCCGAAACAGCACGTGGTCCCAACGATGAGTGTATACTACGCGTAATAAATATTGCAGGCAATCAGCGAATTTGTAGCCGTCCCTAAAGTGGACAGCGCTTAATCAATACTTATTACAATCATCGATAGAATTTGGCCTACTTTCCACATGGTCTATTTTAAACCACAACAGGTCTCACCATGAACTTACAATGAAAAGGCCAATAAATTTTATATTATGTATAAAAAGCTGTATTGAATCTTGACCTTTTAAAATCTTCCGCGCAGTTGTTAAAGATGCAAAAATAAGCATCGATTTCAAACGTTTTAATGTTTTTTTTTTCCAGAGACCTCAGATCTTTGGCCAATCTTATAAAGTCTTCTTTGGGGTCAGGACTGCTTGCTATGCCTTTAGCATTCTCAAATGCCGGTTGGGGAGTCGGCATTGTAGGCACTGTGATAGTGGCATTTATCTGTGGCCACTGCGTTCATATATTTGTAAGTATATTCGTATATAAATATTCAAACTTTTTTTTAAACTAAATGTCTTTATTAGCATTTTAAGGTATCGTGCAAGCATGGTACGGTTTTATCTATTTTTAAAATTTGTTGCTAACTAATTTACTTACTTATTTGTTTATTTATCGAATCCAAAATATATGTATAGTTATATGATAAATTAGTACAAAAAATACCATACAATTTATTACCTACATACGTCACGCCAACTCCAGCGTATAGATGAAATTAGTATAGGGACGGATAAGAAATTCATAAATCTATACTAACATTATGATGAGGTAAAATTTGTAAGTTTATAAGTTTGTATGTAGGAGGTAATCTTTGGAACCGCAGGTCGGATTGCCAAAATTCTTTCACTGATAGATAGCTCCAATGTTCCTGAGTGATAGAGGCTATAAAACATCAACACGCTACGATTAAAGGGAGCCGAGCCGCGGGTGAAACATATTTGACTGCACGATTGGCTGGGTAACTGGCTGCCGCGCAACGTGTCGCAGTTTCGATTCCCGCACGGAACAACTCTTTGTGTGATCCACAGATTGTTGTTCCGGGTCTGGGTGTGATGTGCATGTGAAATTGTATGTTTGTAAACGCACCCACGACACAGGAGAAAATCCTAATGTGGGGCAACGTTTTTTTTTTTTTTAAATATATACTCATTTTGTAAATAACATATAGGTACGATAGATTTGAAACTAGATAATAACCAAGATTAGAACGAATGAGTGTGGTCCTCGTATTGTTTACTTCCGCAGCGCATGGCAATGCACGTGCAGTAAACAAATAAAAACTCACCTTACGGTGCACTTGAAAACGAGAGGGTTTAATGGCTTTTCAAACTATGTACTGAACATGTGCTGTGTAAAAACATGACTTTTGAATACTTCGTAAAATTCCAATGCAATTCAGATGCGTTGTTCAATCTATAATATACAATTAGAGTTTTATTTTTTAAATGATTTCGTGAATAACTTTACAAACACATTACCTACATCCAGACGTGGAAAAGCAGTTTGTGGATCACACAAAGAGTTGTTCCGTGCTAGAATCGAGTCTATGGCACGTTTTGTAGCAGCCAGTTGCCTAGCCACCGCGATAATTTTGCAGTCAAAGAATGAAAAAAACAGATAACGTGTTAATCCAAACGACTATATAGTACAAGAATAGATTATTCTTTTTTTTTTTTGAGGTAAAAGACCAACAAACATCTTTACAAACATTTACATATATAATAGGTGATGCAAACTGCTAATTCGTAAAATACATACGAGGCGTACAGAACCAGTCAGGATTTTGTCTAGTACAAGTAGATACTTATAATTAAGACATGACAGCTCTAGGTCTTGACCCTTTGTTTAATAACAAACTCAATCCAATATTATGTGTACAATATTTGATATTGGTACAAAATATAACCAGAGAAGCCCCTTTTTTCTTTTACTTTTGACTCTTATCATTTCTTACTGTTTATGAGAACAGAATTGGAATTGAATCTGCTTTGTCATTCAATGATTGTCATTGAATTTAATTCTATAAAATAAATTGGCAAAGATATTTGAAAGAGGCCTTTGTTCAGCAAAGGATCTATTGTGGTTGACCCTATTTAAAATTAAATAGATTTTAATAAAAATAGTAATATTCATTACTTTCAGGTACAAACATCCCGAGGGTGCTGTCGATTGGAAAGGAAGCCGTTACTAAGTTACTCAGAAACTTGTCGATCAGCATTTGCAAATGGACCCAAATGCGTCAGACCGCTGGCTAACTTCGCACAGTAAGATTCCATTGAAATTTTGATAAAATTACATCAAATTGCTCAGTGAGAAACAGTTTCAGAAACATAAGACCATTTTTCTATTTCATATCATCATCATCAGCCTATAAGTGCTTACTGCTGAGCAAAGGCCTCTTCTCATACGAAAAAAGTTAGAGCATTAATCACCACGCTTGCTCAATGCGGGTTGGCGATTTCAAACTTATAATCAGAAATTATAAGTCCAGGTTTCCTCACGATGTTTACCTTCACCGTATGTCAGTGGTGTCTAAATAATCATAGAAAGTACATATAACTCGGAAAAAGTCACATTGGTACTTGCCATGTTTCGAACCCACACCCTCATGCACGAATGCACGAGAAGCGGGCTCCGTAACTTCCGGGCCACCACGACATTTTTTCTATTTACCTATAATATAAAAATGAATATCTAAATGTGTTTTTAAACGCAAATCTCGAGGACATTTGAACTGACCGTTGATTATTTTTCTTGTTGTGTTTGTTATTATCTTTTTTTATGTGATAAGTTATATTTTGTTTTATGAGCAGACAGATCATGTGATGGTAAGCAATCAGCACCGACTACGAATATTCGGAACAACAACTCATTGCCAGCCTTTTGCAATGGGATTTAAGGACCTCACACAGACGGCATAACATGTAAGTGTTGTTGTAATATTCTGTGTGGTTGTCAAACGAAGTTACAAAAAACTAAATTGAAATAGGTTCATTCGTTCAAGAGCTATGCTACAGACAGACAGACAGACACGTGAAACTTATAACACCTCTCACGCTCTTTTTGCATCGGGGGTTAAAAATAGAAAAGTTGAGGAAAAAATAGGGAAATACAAAACAAATGACTGTCACATACTTAGCAGTAGTCGAGCTTCTGTGCAAAGCAAAAGTATTAGAAGAATTCTAATTAGGGGATTTCCTTATGAACGTTCTAGAGTAACAAGAAGAAATAACAAAAATGTATACAATCAGCAAATTGAAATGCAAGTGCCCACTGTTTCAGTTATTTTAATTAACTTTTAAGACCGTATCAAATAAACATATCTAATTTGATTTGCATATTGACGTAAAACTTGCATTACAATGCAATGTGCATTATTTGTAAACTAAATTTTTTTCAAGCAACAATTTGAAAACCCGTTCAAAAATTCTAATCTTTATAGTAAACATGTCATCAAAATATGACATTTCATGTCATGGAAATAAAGTGTGTTTTCCTTTGTTACAGTTTATTTGCGGAATTTTCCTTGTGTTTCACGTACCTCGGCGTGTGTTGTATATTTACTGTGCTAATAGCAACTTCAATTAAGCAGGTAAGGACAACATATCAAAATTAGTATCTTTGCTTATTTTATTGTCTATACTAATATTATAAAGCTGTTTGTTTATTTGAACGCGCTAACCTCCAGAATTACTAGCCCAAAGTGAATAATTATTTTTATGTTTGTTAAAAAATGTATCGAGGAAGGATTTAGGCTAAAAAACATCTCGCTACGATTTGTAGGAGCCGAGCAGCGAATAAACGCGACAGAAGCTAGCCTATATGGTCGAGAACAAAAATTACTAAAACAGTCCGAAAGATATTCACGAAAATTTTAAAACTAGACAAGTAGCAAAACAACACTTAATATATCTATATTAAAAAGTAGTTAACTATTAAACAGCCAATTAAATAACAATGATAAATTATAAATTCGTTGGTTTAAATGACGATGAGTACATAGCGCCAAAATATGTATATGTATACAGGTGGCCAAAACTGGAACTAATAAAGCGAAAACAGAATGACGTATTAAAACTAATGTCACACACCAAAGACTATATACATAAATATGTTGCTCTCACATTAATGAAATGCAACAAAGACATTTCTTTTTTTACGTGATAAGTCGGCAAACGAGCAAACGGATTACTTGATGGTAAGTAATCAGCGTCGCCCATGAACACCCGCAACGACGGAGGAGTTACGATCCTTTGGGGATTAGGGATTTGGAGATTTGAGAATGAGCAGGGAATGGTAAGGGAAGGATTGGGCCCCCGGTAACCTCACGCACATGCGGCAAAACACAATGCTGTAGTTATTTCACGCCGCTATTTTTGACATTTTTAATTTTCGGCTAATCTCCTTTGCACGTCTTAAATGATAAGATGTAGAACTAATTATTGAGGTAATTCCAACAACCTAATAATAGTATCCGATGATGCAGATTTTTTTTTCTACCACGCTCTCCACCTTTAGTTCGTTCTAGTTACAATTTATAGTTTGATCAATATGAAACATTTCTGATGGATCTCTAATTAATAGAATTAAAAACGATACGATAATCGCGTTAAACATTCATCAGGTACTAGCTTCCACCCGCGGCTTCTCCCGCGTGGTATGTTGATAATAAAGCTATGTGTTAATTCAGGGTCCATGTCAAATTTCAACCACATCGATCCAACCGTTTTTGCGTGAAAGGATTTACAATATTAGTAGGATTTTCTTTACGTATTTTATATCGTATAAAGAAATTGCTGTTGAAATTACAGGCTTGATCTACATATTAAAAATGTTTCAGTATTACAGATTTGTAATAAAAACTATTCAAAGTGTATACATTTCAATAGAAACTTACCTGTATGTTTAATGTTGGTGTTTAATTTATTACTTTAGAGAATGATGGTTCCCATAACACGTTAGTCTTTTCTTGGTTCATACAAATATTTGCATTAATTGCATTACCTACGTTTATATGTACCAATTGTTGATGTTAATCTTCTTATATTGTGTGTTACTCCGTGTATTCCTTTTTGTACTCTATGCATTTTTCTTGTAAATGTATCTCTTAATTTCTATAAACATACTAGCGACCCGCGTCGCACGGGTATATTTAACTTACAACGAAAGGGTCACTTTTTCCCAATTTTCCTATCTACTTTTCTTATATACTTTTTTATAAGAACCATCTCCTGACAGTTAGATAACAACACATTTTGCGATTCATTTTTATATATATACACCAGCACATTACCAGCTTTTGTTCGCGACTCCGTTCGTTTGGAATAGTGACTTCCTGCAGATTTTTGGTATAAAAACTATCCTATGTCCCTTCTCGAGTTCCAAACTATGTCTGTACCAAACTTCACAGAAATCGGTTCAGTAGTTTAGGCGGGAAGAAAAGACAGACAGACGGGTTACTTTCGCATTTATAATATTTATATATTTATTAAAAACATAAAAGATTTTCTCACTGTTATAATTATAAATTACGTATTACATTATCTTTTTTTCTCTTAAACAACGAAGTTATGAATGACACACAATTGTTCGTTATGACTCATTCAGTTTATAATGTCTTAATATTGCGGTACCACACTAATACACCGGTAACATTATCACAAACCCCCCGGGAGGGGGAGGTCCTTGTTCACCAATGGACGTAATCTTATTGATAACTAGCAACCAGTCCAAATCATCAATGCTGATAAAAAAATCTTCACTATTTAATTAATGTTAGTATACATATAAACCTTCCTCATAATCACTCCATCTATTGAAAAAACCGTATTAAATTCGTTAGCGTAGTTTAAAGATAGCGACTAAATAAAGCGATTTTGCTTTTGCTTTATGGTACTATGTAGTGACGACGTGCGTCTTAAAGAAAACCTTTTAACGTCTATTCTGTTATTTGTTACAGTTATTCGATACTTATTTGACAACGACGGACATTCCAGTGGAGCAATATTGCCTAATCTTACTGGCGCCACTTTGCCTTCTCTGTCAGATCAGGCACTTGAAGTGGCTCGCACCATTCTCGTTACTTGCCAACATCCTACTGTTCGCGACCTTCGCAATATGTATTTATTACATATTCAGGGAACCACTGACGATCAGCGACAAAAGGATTGTTGGAGATTTGTCAAGACTCCCTGCGTTTTTATCGTAAGTTATTTGTCTTTAATTGAAACTAGCCTAACGTGTTGGTAGTTTTGGTAATCGATTTTCGACTCTATATTTGTTGAAAAAGATTATAAATAACTAACAATTAAAACACAAACAGCCATCTGCCTTCACTTGTATCTTAGGTCAGTAATTTAACGAATTTCCCCTCATAACTCCATTACTTTATCTCTGGTAAAGTACCTACTTCTGCCAGCTATGACGCTGCAGATTCATGTAATAAATAATGATATGTCTAGACGTTATTCCATGGCCATAATGAAAATTATCCATTGTTTTTCTAGAAACCTATAATTTTACTGTGAATAGTTACGACAGTATTAGGTTCGTACTTATATGAGATTTACGATGATTTTGCATTATGCGCAATGTTTATGGACAGTTTTGTATTTGTTTCGATGAATTAATTATCATTTGCCTTTGTAGTATTATGAATATTTATATTTTGAAGAGTAATACTTATGCTTTGAAATAAAGGTTTTAATCGACACGTTTTTTTTATAAATGTTATATTAGCAAGTGGTCCAAAAAATTTGAACAATAAGAAGCTTAAATACATTTTTTATGTTAACACTATACTTACTTTTAAACATATTAATGAGTCTATTATGATTGACGTACTTCTTCACAGAACCGTGATCTTCGCGATGGAAGGCATAGGAGTTGTAATGCCAGTGGAGAACACGATGAAGAAGCCCCAACATTTTCTCGGGTGCCCAAGTGTAATGGTGATTGCAATGTCTTTGGTGATGTGCTTCTATACAATTTTGGGAGTCTTCGGATACTTACGATATGGAGAGGCCCTCAAAGGAACTATTACGTTAAACCTCCCGATGGATGATTGGTAATTTTTTATTTTTGGATTTTGCTGTTAGTATTGTGGTTGCAATATTGTTTCTTTTTAAGAGAGATAATAAAAGGTACTTTATCTTTTGCCACTATTGGCTAGAAATCTCTAAAAGTCAAAAGTATTTGTCATGCCACAGATTTACAGAAACTATATACTAAACTATGGTGATTCCCAGGGAACATTATTAGGTCCAACGCAAAAAAAAACACCTTGTATTTTTATTGTTTTTTTTTATTGACAACTATTTTGCTATCTACAATATACCATGTTTATATAAATTAGTTTTCATATGTTTTTTCTATTTTAGGCCAGCAATCTGTGCGAAAGCTTTCATTTCGGTGACAATCTTCTTGACGTATCCCCTACATTTCTTCGTTGTGATTGACATATTCACAAAATACGTCCAACCACGTGTACAGGAAAAGTATCACAACGTAATGCAAATCTCTGCTCGAATCCTTATCGTCTGCTTTTGTGGTAAGTACCTTATTAATATGAAAATTACTTTATAAATATTTTAAATTAATTGCCACACAATGCCTTGAGCATTGTCCTTAAACTTCATCTTACAGTTTATTTACCAGGTACAAATAGCGACTTAAATACTGAGAGATTCGTGAAATTAGGGAGAAATTATTATGTAAAATATCTCAAAACAACAAATGTTAGTGACCCACTTATAAAATAATAAATTTAAATTGTCACACTAATCTTAAAGCCTGCTCTAATATTTGAACTTAATCCTACATCATTTTTAAGTTTAATTATGTACTTATGTTAAATGGAGAGTGACCTTGTATCATTTAGGTAAAACATAACCTTAACGCATACTGGTATTGTTTATTTAATTTAATTTTAGTGTAAATTAGTAAATTATTTCGGTCGTAACTACTTACTCATCGCGTCATTTGTAACAAATTACTTTATTACCTTTTAAAGATGTCAAAGATAATGTTTCAGATTTATCAGAGAAATGCTCAGTTGAATTGAAGTATACTCATGTATTTAATACAACATACTATTTATCATATACGTATTTCTTTTTCTCTTTGAAACTTTAACGTTATTTGCTTTGTTGACTCAAGTTCTATTTATTAAAAGTCTTTATTTTATTCAGTTTTTTTACACAAAGTCTATATATCAACGTCTTTACAGGTGGCGTTGGTATCGCGCTTCCATTCTTGGAGCAGATCATCAACCTAGTCGGCGCTTTGTTCTACTCCATCCTTGGTCTTATCATCCCAGGCATCATTGAGACTGTCTTTCGCTGGGAAGACCTTGGCAGATTCAATTGGATTCTATACAAAAACATTATCATCGTCTTCTGTGGCATGTTCAGTCTCGTCTCAGGATGTACTGTTACTATCTCTGATACTATAGAAATGATCCATCAGAAGACAGAATAAGTAAAGACTATTGAATACAGTATTTTTTAGTTAAATAAGTAAGATTATCTGTGATTAGTTTAGATAATTTATGTAATGTAAGCTAGTTAATGTAACAAATAAATTATTTCATACTATATGTGTTCTCATTGTAAAACAAAGGACTGGTGTAATTTCTAGCAATAAACTAACCTTGTTAGTGAAAATCTAAACAATGTTATTCTTATAATAATCACTAAGATAATAAATTGTATGCAATGTCTTCATTGCTGAAATGACTAGTACTTATACTTACTTTTATAAAATGTTGCCCGCACTAGGATTTTCTCCTGTGTCACGGGTACGTTTACAAAAACACAATTTCATATACACATCATAGACCCAGACCCGAAACAACAAGTTGTTCCGTGAATCGAACCCGCGATTGCTTCAGCCGATTGCTAAGTAACCGTGCGAAACGTACAGTCATATAGACTGTTTCTATTATTTATTTATTTATAATATACTAGCTTTTGTCCGCGACGTCGTATAGTAACTTCCTGCACATATTTAGAATAAAAACTTTTCTATGTCTTTTCTTGAGTTCGAAACTATGTCTGTACCAAATTTCACAGAAATCGGTTCAGTAGTGTAAGCGTAAAGAAAAGACAGACAGACAGAGTTACTTTCGCATTTACAATATTAGTATAGACTAGCGGCCCACCCCTGTTTCAACTATCACGCTGACGATAAAATGGTCGCTTTCACAACATTTTTATGAGTAGCTTCTCCAGAAAATAGCAATCGCAAGCCTGAAACATAATTGGGAAAATAGGTCTAGGCGTTACTGAGTTGTGCGCATAGCAACACATTTTGCAATTATTTTTTTATATATATAGTTGTATATTTACACCTACACTTCTAAATTCCTTTCGGTGAATTTTGATAAATAAAAAGGACCCTGAATCTAGGTAATTATAGACTACATTTTTTCATCACAAAAAATAAAATAAATGTGGTATATTTTAGAACATAGAAAAAAAAGTATAACAAATAATTTATTTTACGTGTTACATGTAAAATGCCGATTAACGGCCAAGCTCGGAGTAATATTTCTCTTGTCTAGCCATAGTCGACGTAAATTGAAAGAATGCTTTCGGCGCGACAGTTATTTCTGCGTGCCCTCATTAAACAAACTTGATTTTATTGGTAGCTACACTCTCGCGAATTTATATTGACACCAATGAATGAATGATGTAGTAAAATATTTGGTCTGAAAATAGGTATCTTATGGTATTGGCGCAGTACATTACCTTCAATCAAGGGAAATGCCTGCAGCTGCATAATATTTTGATTAGTTTTTGGACGTAACCTTTACTCGACGAAAGTATTATAATTCAGCAAACTCGACCGCCAAAAGTGTTTTACCACTTTTCAGACCACTTTTCAGGGCACTGTCAGATGTGTCTAAGGGTCGGATATCGCTGTAGCGTTCGCTGCAATCCCTACGGGAAAACAACTTTTCAAACTTAATTAAAGAACATTATCTTTATTTGTCATTTTGTAATCAATTAATTTTATCTGATTATGAATCACGCTCATATCAACAAACCCCAAAAAAGGTAAAGCGACTACCAATAGATGGCGCAACAACACACATCTAAATATAAAACTATCCCACGCGACCACCACTGCAGCCAAAAGCTAGTTAACAAAATATTTATAGACACTATTTACACACAGTTTGTTGATGTTATTTCTCATCACTTCATACAAACATATTTTTGTATGGTACACCATAAAAATTGGCATGTTTCATTGGTTCGATTAAGTATCGTAGCAATGACTTCGCACCGAATCTAAATCTGTCTGGTGGGTATACGGACAAATTGACATTGATTGTAGCCATTGACCTTACATTTGGCACAATATCGTTTATTGAGTGCGACGTTTAAGAGGTAATTCGGTCAAAAGTTACTATGGACAACGTTACATAATAATTATCGTGAGTAGGCACACAGATATTCGTAGGTACTTCCTGGTAAACTATAGTAAAAATCCCCAAAAATATGCGCAGCCGCAGAACTACATAGATATTATTTTCGGGAGAGGACTTCATTAAATTTGCGCTGAGAATGCTCTTCGGACTGCCTCGATGGTGTAGCGCGTCTGGAATGTTTGCGGAAGCCAGAAGAGATGACTTCTATGCCATTATACGCAAGCGATGTGCATCCATGATGCGGTGATTGAGGGACAATCCTAACAGTATACTAGCTAGACTGGCAGACCACATCGATGGGCCTTTTGTTAGACACTGGGCAAGTAGACATGTGCATCCTGATGTCCATGTCAATAATTGATAAATATTTAATAATATTTTCTGCCTAACATAAGGATAAAGAATAACAAGCACTTATGTATGGATCTCTCATCTCTGACTGACTTAAAACCATCCCATTCCTTCTTCTGCTCCGGGCCGCTGCCCCAGTCCCATCTGCAACCTCAACTACCCAGTAAAATTTTATTCATAGTCACGACGCACATTATTTCATACAATGAATGATCGAAAAATATACATTAAAGTAGTTTGTACTTAAACAAGATCAGAAATAAATTACAGAAAAATATGCTCTCAAAGAAAAACGCGATGTGATATGGTATCTACGACATCAGTATAGATGTAGATTTATTTAATATTTAGAATTCTATTTCATTAAGTGTGTCCTAACTTTCCATCATCTTGCTAAATTATTATATTTTCTTAATAAACATTAACAGTACAGTACAGTTTATGACTAGTGTTCGTTCATTAAAATTTTATATCGTTGTCATGTTTCCAAAATATGGAATGTGTTTATATTTTGAATAAACATTAATATAAGTTGGCATGCTATCACTAGTAAGGATTGATTTAAAAGAGCGTACAATTTAAAAATTGCTGAGTTAATATTTGAGTTGAGTTTTTTTATAATTTATTTTTATTTTCAAAGAAAAAATACAATTTTATATTTAGTCCGTAAAATTTTACTTATAAAATGTTTATTGCTTTTCAAAACTTCTAAATACTACGATAAGGAAAATAAATACGTACATTGTAAATCCAGTTCCACAACGAAACGAGATTCTATGGCTGATTAACAGAGAAGACGGCCGACCGACCTTGATCCAATAATAAAAAAGTTTAAATCAATTTGATGGACAAGTGCACTACTTCATCATTTTACGCAAGTCATCTTCGAAAAATGTCACCAAGTCATTGAGAAGTTAGATCAGTAGATAGCTCTATATCTTTGTTTCCTATTCTATTCATAAACATTAATAATAACATTTTTTGTTTTTATGTGATAGAACTTCAAACGAACATACGTATTACCTGAAGGTAAGCAATTAGCGCCGCCCCAGGTGTCCATACACCCGCAACAACAAAGGAGTTACAAGTGCGTTGCCGACCTTTTGAGGATTAAAGATTTGGAGATTTTGGGGTTGAGCTTCCGTTAATTTCAATCCCACGGCGAAACACAAAGCTGTGGTTGTTTCATGCCGGTTTTGAGGCCATGGTATCACTCCGTCCCATTCGTGATTCAGCATGGCTGTCCCACACTTATGAGATCAACTCCCGTCAATTTGGATTTGTAACTTGTACCAATGCCAAAATACTAATACCAAATTAGTAACACATCGATTGATAACATTAAATAGAAAATTAAAATGCGTAATCATGACGTTAACAGCTTGGCATCAAATGCTACCACATGCATTCGATATGGGGTCAAACGCCTTTAATACATAATATGTATCATAATTTCAACACACGTGGGAAATTATCTTTTTTCTTGCAACAAATTATAAGTAATGTTGAATCTAGCCAAATGCGTAGAAGACACTACGTGTTTATATATATATGCTTATGTAATAAATAAACGTATCTACGAATAAATTTTCTTGATAACAGCCAAACTGTCTATTTAATTTAAACTTTCAACATCTTGCACTCCTCACCAAGTAATGATGGATGGGTACGCATTGATATCTGTCAATCCTTACCAATTAACAAACGAATATCGTTCAGAAAATATTCCGAATATCAACTAAGAGATAATAATATCTCCAATATCGTGCGATTACTGAGAATTTCAAAATCGAATAAGCAACTATCCCCATTCGGGGTGTGAACTATCCCCGATCGGAAAGAGTTTCCGATCGGGAATAGTAGACTAGTCTGTAGTGTAGATTGTAGACTGAACAATTAAGTCGAGTAAGACTATTTTCTCACTGAAACTATTTCGGATCATACATCAGCTTACAAATATGAAGGTATCTGGCGTCAACAATGGAATAGGCGTGGGCGCAGCTGGAAATAAAGTGGTAATTAGTCAAAACGTTTCACAGCGGCGCTTGCGCAGACACTCGACTGCCACGTGATGCACCTGTCATAAGTAGGTAAATGATATCAACAAGTAAACTAATCCACTTTATAACATTATCTGTTCAGATTGATTACATTCTTAAGATCCTCTCGCAATCAATTCATTACGATTGGATTAATACAACACTCACAATGAGCAAATCGTTATCATTACACATTCACATTGCTAGTAATCTAAGTGCTGAGATAATTCTTTAGCTTCAAGCGCACTTTAGGTACCTAAGCTGTAAATAAACATGTGTGGAAACGAGATTAATATTTTATTTCCGCGCTATTAACATTTTGTCATGTTTATCTACATATTTTGTCTTCTTGTCATCTTATAAAATACCTAACAATTTTTTCATAGTTGTAATTCCCAATAAAATTTTGCCCTTACCAGGAAACCGAAAATCTATTCGGTCGGCAGTTGCATTTGACGACTTTTGAAATCCAAATATACTAATGTACTAAGTACATGTACTAATTACATATAATAAATGAATGTGCAAGAGTGAATCACGATTGTTCAACACGACACACAACTAATAGACGTTTTTGTTACCTGATTAAATCTTTACTTGACAAAAAGAGTCAGCCAAAAATTCAAGCTATTCATTTTCACTTAGTTAAGATTTTACCTATAAAAACTTGAGATCGAATAATGTATGGATCAATCTTCACGCTCGAAAGCCTACGTCAGAAATGTTTACGATCTAAACAATTGCCGTCTCTCTTATCTACGAGATATTCATTTGAGAAGACATTTTAGTACCTACATGAAAATAACATAAAGTCTTTGACTTACACACTTTTCTTGCCAATATTGGAACATATTAATAATATACATCACTGGATGAAGGACATCTTACTAGGTTTGTCTCGTGGTTTCGAACGAGTAGTTATGGCTTGTATCAAACTACGCACTATAATAGGTATATTCAGGTACTGCCGTTCGTTCTCAAGGATACTATTTTATTACACATGTACGTACCTGTCAAGTGCAATTTTTTTTATGGATTAGGAGGCAAACGAGCAGACGGATCACCTGATGGTAAGCGATCGACGCAGCCATGGACACCTGCAACACCAGAGGAGTCACAGGTGCGTTGCCGGCCTTTTAAGGAGTACGCTCGTTTCTTGAAGGTTTATGTATAATGTCTCCGGCCCCAGCCTGGAGCTGAAGAAGGAACGAGGAGTCTGACACTCCCTTTACTCCTAGCTGAATCCAAGGCGGGAGAATCATACTAAAAAAACCTAATGTAGCGTACTATGACAGAGAAGATGTTTTGTGATGTTTTAAAATAATTTCACTCAAAACGCTTACGACTATTTATTTGTATAGACATTGTAAAATACAAACAACTTGAATGAAAATATCTCCGTCCTACGTTTGGCATCTATTTTTCATATTTTACTTCTCTGGACGAAGACGACAAAATATTTGTTAGTCGTAGACTGGACTGTGTTCAAATCGATCGCTAATGTTGTTTGGTGGTTGTGGCTAGTTAGTGGACAGTGACACACAAAATGCTTTCGAGACTAATTAATAATAAAATATAATTGTTACGAAAAAGAAACTATATCCATATGCTTTTTCTATAATGTAAGTGTGAAATACAGGTTTTTCTACATTTGCTATGTAAAGATACCATTAATTATAGAGTTGTCATTAGTTTACATCGATTGATTCCCGCATCAAATCCTTGCTAGTGCAGTGTTAATAAAGAAAAAAAGTCGAAAAAAATCGTGTAAACCGCGATTCCCATGGAGTTTGTAATCAGTGCCAAAATGTCTCGGTTACAGTTGACTCTTCGGTATTCTATACCTATTTATAAATTAAAAACGGTCTCGTGTGTGCCAAATGTTAATAAAAGATTGTTAGAACTATTACAACATTCAATTCTTGCCTAGAATCTTGCGTGTCAACGAATGTGATGCGTATGGTGTGAGTACCTAGTGCGAATTTGCTTTACTTTAATACACTCGACAAGCTTATGACGTCTGGCGCTCTGATTGGCCTGCTCTAATTTGACCCACCAATCAGAGGATTCAACGCGGTAACGTTTCGGTCGCGTTTACTTGAAAAAACTCGCACTAAGCACTCTACCGTTCGATTTTGACGTATTTGAAACGCAATTTGCAACACCTCTGGCAACGATAGTACCCACAATGTTATTAAATTAGATTTTTAATAGAGTGATTGGATTTCAATTATGGTGATTACATGACCACTTTTTTTTCGATTCTTATTTACCTAAAATTTTAAAATTGTAGGAATAAAACCTGCTTGGAGAATTTTCATATAAGTATTAAAAAAACGAAGGAGATCTAGCAAAACATTTTAGTACCTATTCAAAAAAGAATGCAACGTTGTTTTATACTTTTCAAGGATCTTGAAAAGTCCCATGAAATATTTAGTAGGTATAAAAAAATTAGGTAGTTGAAATAGGAATCATCTGTATCATTTTATAAAATCCTGTCACACTTTCGAAGTAAAATATTTACAAATCATCTTAATGAAGCATACTGATATGACATTGTTTAACCGTTTATTATACCTAACGTTAAAAGTTCCATTCACAAAGAAAAACTAAAGAATATAATTACCTAGAGACTTTTCAAAGACAGGTGTGTGTGGGAGACAATGGCTCAACAAACACAAATCAGTCCAGAATTCCAGATTCCACTGGCCCTTGAGCTAAATGTCGATGCCAAGATAGTCCCTGAAACGGTCACGCGTATTTTATATTTATAAAGATCAGCATTGCACACTAAACACACGGCCGTTGACTGTGTCGCCGCCCGTACGCGAAACATGTCGCACGCGCGCAAATGTATCGATACAACATAATATATCGAAATACATAAACAAATCTATCAATTAAAACGGTTCTCCATATAATAACAGTGCCATTTTGGATTTTTTCACCAAGGAAATAAGTAAACAGCAGTGAAAATGTCGAATAGTTACAATATGAAGGAGTTTAGCTCGACGTAAGTTGTATTTGATATATTTTTTTTTTATATTAAAGTTAATTCTTGTCCATAACCATTCGTCAACTTAATTATGGCTGCAAACACCGTGAAGACCTTCAGTGAATTCGTGTATTTACAATTCCTCTGTAATTCATCAATATTTTCTAAGCTCTACTCTGCTTAGGAAGTCATGTCCTTTGACTAACAATAAACTATTTCTAGTACATGCAATTGTAAACACTGCATCTGTTGTAACTGAAATGGCGCCAAAGTTGTGTAATTTTCTCAAACATTTAACCTACATTAATGGTCATTTTTACACATATGCACTGTAGTGGCCATCATGCGTATATAAAGATATGAATTATCAACTATTTATAGTGAAACTATTAGTACTTAGTGGATAGCTAATATAATGTTAAATTTCTTTTAATAATATACTTACTTCAGACAATGGCTTCGTATCAGAGTAAATAGTAGTATCTGCCAAATTTCATCTAGATCTATTTAGTGGTCTTTAATTGAGGAAGTAAAAACTTCGCGTTAATATTAAGTAGTGACGTTACAAGCAAGTAGCGTCTATAGATAAGGTACCTTCCACTATATCATAAAACAAATCATTTCCTTTGTATAACTAATGGAGGATAAATTACAAAGCAAATAGTTATTAAACCCTCAACTAGTTAAAATTTAGCGCCAAGGACGTATAACAAATAGTCAATGAGACGTCAAAAATATCAGAAACATTGTTTAAATAACACCAAGGTAAATGCTTAACGACAAGAAAAACAATCGAAGACCTTGAAAAGGCAAAGATTTAGAATTTAATAATCCAAATATCTGCTTTACGTACTATAACATATTAAACATTATGTGACCTAATGATGTATTGAAAATGTCTGTAGTAATTTAACATTTATGAATGTGTACCGAATTGTAGCCTAAAATACTTAATTTAAAACAGATATGGTAGTTATTGGTAGGTAGCAGATTATTCCTTTCTAATCTCAAACAATAACATAGAAATAAGCGTGCCTTTTATTACGTAAAAAGGAGATAATTATATTATGTAACACTGACGGACCAGTAATGAGAGTCCTATGTTATAGGGGATGAGCCTACAGCCTATACCCAGACCCAATTTTAAATAAATAATTAACGTGTTACAACTAAGATACTTATAAGTATTCGTTGAAACAAAATAACCCTTTTAAATCCCAATGTAGTTATTCAAAACAATCCTTAATGTCTTTTTAATAACATTGTTTTTCATCTGAAATAACGCTTCTAATCTTAAATTGTAAAACAATTTAAGATTTGAATTTCAGTAGAAATATAAAATTACAATTAAACTTTACAGTAAATAGAAAAGGCTGATGTTACTTATCAAACATACAATAATTACTTTATCAAACATTAATAAATGTACAGCGAGTAGAAGGGTCGCTTTCCTTATATATTCATTCCTACTCTTTCATTAGAAAGGTACAAGAAAGAGACGTGTGATAACAAAACATGTTACTTTGACAGCCATTTTGAACGCTGGAAAATTTTACCTTTATTAAATCTTAGAGTTCAATATCAGTCAATGACGCCTACGTTGCATACCTAATGCAGGAAAAGATTAGAATGATGTCATTCAAAATTAAATTTAGAATAGATTTTTTATAAAGAGTTTATTTTTTAAACAGACAGATATGTACAGATATCTATGTGCTGATCAACCATTTATAAGTATTTATATCATTTTTTTTTAAGTCTGCTAAAGAGCGAGAAACAGTTATTTAACACTACAAGAGATTTGTTATCTCGCTCTACCGGTTTTCTTGGTATTAACATTTACTCTCATTTTTGCAATATGAATACCTAATAACATAAGCTTACAAAAGAAATATCAATTTGACCTCTAAACCGTCATCTACATAATAATATGTTGCTACATCTCTTAGTATTCTCTGGAGATCTAGATTCTAGACAGAATATGCTTAAGATTACTTGCAGATAAATATTATAAGCAGGCAGGCTGATTAACCATTACGATAGCGAATTTCATCTAAATAGTTAGGAAGATACTTACTTGCCTTACAGAAATCCGGGCTCCTTGTAGAGTAGTGTTATTTTAGTTTAGTACCTATTTGTAAAATCCTGGGTCCATTAAAATGAATAAGAAACGTATAACAATTGTGCGCACAATCACGCTTTATGAATATAATCATTATTTTAAGCAACATCAAAACCCGGTGGCTAGATCCCCGCACGGAGGGCACAATAGTTCCAATTTCGGGCTCATATATTTAACACATTCACCCTGATATTAAACAAAATACCTCCCAGCCAGACTAGATAGTTATAAATTTTCATTAACGCTTGCATTTGCATATGCACTTCATGTTTACTGCGTCAGTAACGTCGTAAATAAATAACCAACAATTTTGGCCCCGGCGATGGCTTCTCTCCAAAAGTTCGATGATCAACATGTCACGTTTCGTGTGATAACACGTGCGACATCATGAGATGATAATAGGATACATTTCCTTGAAAGAACACGTACAGACGTAAAGAAAGCATGCGTTATCATTTCTATTTTTCATTATAACAACTCTAATATTATTAGTCTTATCAAAATAGAAGTTTGTACTTGAAATTATTAAGTACTGATTACTCAGAAATATAATATTTTTTATTATTTCTTTCTCTAGGCATGCATTTCGTCTAGATTCGTTTATATTTTAGCATAATGGAGTAACAAATAAATACATCACACACTGGTCGTCATATCGGCTTCGAAATTAATTCTTCTCATCAAAAAACCTTCAACCTAAACGACTACATATATGAGTCATTGGGAAGTCACCGGTTTAGTTTTAGACCTCAAGGAGAACAGGTTTAACAGACATTCGTATCCATATCCAATATTTATCTACTATGGATAAACGATGATGATGATATGACGTCATTTTCAAAGTTTATTTAAACTAGAAATCATCAATTGGATTTTTTTTTGGTTCAAGTTTCGTAATTAGCTATAAATAAAGTTTTGGATGATGTCTTAAAACAAGTAATCTTTACGAATTACAAACCTAGGAATAGACAAATTTTAATGAAAATGTCTGTTTTACATTTTAAATTCGCACAGAACTAAGTATTGACTATGACTATTATTGTCACTCTGAACAACTATGAATATCTACTGATATGTGATATTATTTAGTTATTTTTAAGTTCTCCGTGTAAGAAAGTTATAAATCTGCAACTATACAAATCGAACAAATCCACACGCTATGGCCTTGTGCCCTTGTACTTGGTAAATCAAAGTCAAGATCAAAGCAATAATTTCTAATCAATCACGTAATCCAACAGAATTCCAAACGGAAATTGATAGAGTGATTTACCTACTGGTTGTAAAGTGCACAGTCTTAATAGCAAAGAACAAACTAATAAGAGTAAATTACACAGCACAAATACTCAGAGTTTTATTCTCAACAATGAATATCTGTGTTTTATAGCTAATGACAATGCTTAAGACGATAATATATCGGATTTATAACGTTTACAGCATAAAAACAAATAATTTAAATAGTTCGCAAAGCACTGAAGAATTGGGTAGTTTCCTAGGTCAAAAATAAATTAATTCAACGTTTTAATACAATAAAATATCGAAAAGTCAATATGCTTTTATTCATTGATCGATCGATACACTAAGTTTAAGATATTTTTTAGCTAATTATTAAGAAATAAGTAAGCTATTTCATGCAAAAATACTATGATGTCATAACTCAGTTTTTCATACAAATTTCATATACAAGTATCGTTTTTGACATTTGAATAAAAGTATTGATATTATTTGAATAGAAGATTTGACTAGTTGGAAACTACCGTATTCTTTAACATTTACATACGTCAACGTAACGTCATCTTAAACAATTTTATTATTACGATGCATATCTTACGATGTATGTAACTTCAATCAAAAGTTCAGCAGCTAAAGTGATAATGACAAGCAATTACCTGTGTCATATGTAATGTAAATTAATTATGAATACATAAAACGTTAATGAAATGATTACAAAGACAAGCATGTTATCAATAAAGCCTTTTATTACTGCAGCGTAATTAATGTACTCAAATAGCTTAAATGAGACTTAGCACATCAAGAGATTCATGTTTCTTCAAGAGAGTACCTCTTCAAGGCTATAATTATGAATTATAATTTCAGAATACGTGTCTACACTAAGCATTTTAATTTGGATTGCGACAGATTAGTGAAATTTGAATACTTTTTTTGCTACACGTATTTTCGTACAGATTGAAGCAAAGATCTTTTAATCAATTAAATCTTAACAATTAGAATCATTCCTGAAATAGGTAGGCAACAACAACATTCAAAACAATGACTGTCAACTGATGTCTCAATTGAGAACCCGGGCCGTAGTTTTCCTCAAAACCGCAACATGAATGAGACGACTAAAGAAGATCTATAGAACAATTTGCGGTCAAATCAAAACAAATAAGACTCATGATTTACCAGCAATTCTATTGAGGTAATGGTACTCCCATCTAAACATAAAGTATTCATCCAATTGAATTCTTGGTGCTGCAGCCAGAAATAAATTCGGGTTGGCGTTAAATTCGCTTTCAAAATACATGCTATCACTATTTCGTCTGGCGGACTTTAAACGTGCATTCTTTGAAATAGACGCCACATAGCTGTGAGAATATTGCTCATTTTCACTTCGCTGCACTTAATCTTCAGATAAATCATATGTAAAATTGCTCAGTGTCACAAAATGCCTTTAAACTTATGTGTGATAACATTAAAAAAAAAAGATGTTGTTTGACCAGGTTTGTTAAGACCAAACAGTCTTGGTTTCAGACATTAATTCCATATCCAGCTAGGATTAGTTAGATTAGCTAGGGAACAGGATAAGGAACTGAGCGATGTTAAGTCGGTAAGAGTGTGACACTCTCTATCGTCCGCGTTTCATCTCGCCTCGCGGGAGCAATAATTTAATAATTATCTTCCTCAAAAATAAACATTAATTTCATATACAACACACTCGAAGCCATAATAAAAGTCACCACCTTATTATTGTACATACACATAAGTATATTAAAACTAGGCCATAGAGGGTATAACCACACCACATGATTATTCCTCTATGACTAGGACACATATTACGTACATACAATTATTTAAAAGTAGCCGACATTGTTATTAATCTCTTAACCGTTGGTTGGGTAAAAACTCACGTACCTAAATTGTTTGAAATACACTCGAAAATATTTTTCACGTAGAAAATACCTACATGTGTATTGACAGCACACGTCTTTCAGTTTTGTAATTAATTTTATAATCTGAAAATAAACAAACCGTTTGATACGATACAAAATAATAAATTATTATATTTGTTTGATCAATATACTTAACCTACAATTAAATTGCACTCTGTTTCAGGGCCATCATAACAGAAAATGGAATCTATCCGTCAACGATATCCATTAGCACAATAAACACGAAATGCAAAGAGAATGATCTTGAAATGAACAATTATGATCCTTTTCAAAATAGAAAACTGGAACATCCCAACTCGTAAGTACCTATGTGTTGAAAAATAAAGCGTCACACACATCTACCTAATAAATACTCTTTCATATTGACTTCCTACCAGGAAGAAAGAAAAAAAAATTGCGCAGTAGTCTAGTCTAGTTGAGACTGGCCGATGAACTGAAGTCATTATTACTGATATGAAATAAAGAAACAAACAGACTTTTTTCTCAATTACATACTTGATTGAAATAAATCTTGAGTAAATTAAAAGTTTGATTTGAAGTATTCCAATGAATAAAACCTATTGTATGCATCTGTAGTAATAAAAAAGCACGTGCTCGATAAAAATCGAGTACTTTTAATTAACGATAGCTGATGAGAAGTTGAATGGCAGTTAAAACCCTGACATAATTTACATACAGTTTAATTTATTAAATTAAACATTTAATCCCTTCAATACTGGAAAGACGTGTTCAGTTTTTTTTTTGTAAAAATGTTGAGAAAACTCTTCATTTTACTATACTCGTCTTTACTCATTACATCGAAAAGAAAATAAACCTTTAGCAGTAGTGAATCGAATTTGAGGGGTGCATAGATACACGAAAGAGGTTAATATATGTTGGTAGAATTTTTCTAGTATCTGTTCACCCCTCTTCTGTTTCTATTTCTATCCCTTCAATTCTATTCACCCTGTTTTACCGTTCCCAAAGTTCACTAAAGAACAAATGATTGGAATTACTACCTAAGTATGATGTAACAAATATTTATCATTAAACCTACAAAGTCAATATTTTAAACATTATGCTATTGATAAACTACAGCGCACTTTATTATTGTTTTTAGAGATATGAGATCGTTTGCAAATCTCCTGAAGTCATCCCTAGGATCTGGTATTTTGGCGATGCCGGCAGCCTTTAAAAATGCTGGCACGATAGTGGGCATCGTTGGAACTATCATTCTGGGATACATCTGCACACATTGCGTATATTTATTAGTAAGTTGATGTGTTTTATTGTATGTAGATCATAATGTAGATCATAATGAACTTAAACGTCTCTCATATTTCATCTTTATGTAGATTTTAAAATAGTCTATACTTCTCCTTTATCTTCGCTGGCATTTTTTAAAAACCATCCTAGCAATTACATGTTTTGCGAGAATCGGAATTTGGTATTCCAAAACCTTGAAAAGTGAGAAATAATAAGCCAATCTACGATGAGTTTATCAAACATTCTGAAATACTGTTTCCAGGTTAAAACTTCACAGGACGTATCAAGAGTAACAAGGGTTCCGTCGTTAGGTTACGCTGAGACCGTTGAAGCAGTATTTGCAACTGGACCACAGCCTTTAAGAAAAGTATCACGAGCTGCCAGGTACCTATAACTAGTTTAAAGTAAAAAATATACTCCCTCCTCGGCTACTTTAATGAAATGTTTTATGAAAAAAAAAAATTTAAATCCAAACCAGTAATATCTAAGTTAAGCATGCTCAACTGAATAATCCCCCTCTCCCTCCCCCCGCTCCTTCTCCAGCTTTAGGCCAAGGCCGCGGTGCCTTATTTGCGATTGCCCCGCAACTCCGGCTGAACATCAGCCCTATAGGGCCCGTCCGTGGCCGTCGGGGCCGTCTGTGGTAGTCTATTGGTTGTTTGAGGCGCGCGCGGAACGCAACGCGCCGTACGGTCGGTCGGGTCTGGGTTTTAATCGAGCGGCGAGCGAGCTAGCCTTAGCCGCCGTTCACAGAACCGCGCTTATTATTCCTATATGGCTAAACTGGTGCTTTGGTCGCTCATAGTAGTAGATTCAGTAGTAGAATTATCACACGTGTTACTGCTAACCACAGACCTTAGCATCCAATTACTATCTCAGATTAAGTACGATTACATTTTTATTTAATGTTCGATTCTCGCTCAGGCAATACAGATTTATTTATGAAATGCTATAAAGAATGTCATTCATGATAGGTTCATGAATGAGTTGTATTATTATAATATCTTTTCATGAGACAAAACTTAAAGACAGTTGCATGCAGGTATTTTAAAATTACAATAGACTTTCATTGGTTTTATCTAATGTTTTTCATAACGAATGTCAATCTTTTAAAAACCGCGTGAATCGCAGCAAGTAAATGTAAGTAATAAAAATATTAAATGTTTATAAACATTCATTTATTTTTTTCTTTCCTTGAAAAGATCAAGTTAAATACTTATTCCGCATTTATCTACACACGTGTGAAGCATAATTAAATTATAATAATATTTAATCAAATGTTTAATGTAAAATTTTATCTAGGTACTCCAGTGTTTATGTCTAAGTAGGTATGGCTTCCGGTAACTCATTTACACGGCGAAACACAACACTGTGGTTGTTTCATGCCGGTTTTCTGTGAGGTTGTGGTATCACTCCGGTCGAGCCGACCCATTCGTGCCGAGGCATGGCTCTCCCACACTTTGGTACTTTACATTCAGTTTTTATTGATGACAAATATTAATAATAGCAGACAGAACAACTGACCCCTGAAATCAATCACGTTTCCGATGAGTGACATCGTAAATTTGAGGTAATCAAACCAATAAATACCTAAGGTCAAGTTTGCTATAGTTAGGACTCGTACACTATTATTACACTGTCGATGTCTTTCATTAATGATGGCCTCACGTGACTTTGATTCACAGTCGACACTGTCTCTGCATAGCACGGTACATTTCCTTTGTGAACCTGAGTTGTCTGCCAAAAGAGATATCTAATTTGATCTTTGAGTCAAAGAAAGCCGACGACAGATGCTTTATTAGTTTCGTACCTAGTTAATTGATTGTTAGTCATTTATTGTAGGTGGTTAAGAAAGAAATACTAATTAAGCTCAGTAACACAATTTCCAGTTAGAATTGCGAGGACAAGCGTAATAACGACCGGAGTTTCGGGGTAAGCGCAATAAGGCACCGCGACCTTGGCCCAGAGCAGGTTTTTAATCAGTAAGAGTCTGACAGTAATGGGCGGGAAAAGTAATTTGATGAATTTCTCCTCACAAAAAAAGCGTAATAGAAAACCGCGGCCCCCGGCTTAATGCAGGAGAAGTCTTTAATGGTAGGTTCCCCCGCGCCATAACTTTTTAACAATTTAAGTCCTTAAATTGTTATTTTTTTGTGCCTCGTCTTCCACACCATCTCCACCCGCACTTTACCCCTGAAAGTCGGGTTTGGCCATCTTCGAACACTTGAGTGACATGTTGTGATCAAATCAATTAAAAAACTTCCTGTTTATTCTCGGATATACGAGACACCCCATATGACTGTACACGTTGGCATTTTTTAAAGGCGCGGCGCCTAATATTTGGCTCATCATCAAAAACATTACCTGTCTCGAAAACATCTCAAGGCCTTCCAAGGTGCTTTTACTCGAAATTGTTCTTAACAAATATCATCGTTCTGCTTTCAGGATATTTATAGACTGGGCTATGGCTTTCACCATTCTTGGCGCCTGTGCTGTCTATGTCATCTTACTCGTGGAATCCGTTAAACAGGTATGTTGGACAACTGACAAAACATTTGTTTCCTATGATGCACTTATAACTTATATTAAATGTTACGCAAAGTAGATTCGTTTAATGTAAACTAAAAGATTTCAAATTTAAATTAGAACACATGTTTTAAAAAGCTTTCGTCCAAATTCAATGCGGAAGGTTTTCTTTCTAATTAAAGGAAGTCCCATGATGAGTTTCTTACTTTAATTTCAGATCGTGGACGTTCATTTTGTCGGCAATGGGATCAGCACGACGATGTACTGCCTAATGTTCTTAGTCCCAATACTGTTTTTCACTCAAATTAAAAACTTGAAATATTTGGCGCCTTTCTCTGGATTTGCAAACGTCTTACTGGTTCTTACATTCCTCATTTGTCTCTACTATATCTGCTCAGAGTTTGAGCCTATCGACTCCAAGCCGATGTCAGTCGATATTGGAAAACTACCTTTATTTATCGGGTAAGGAACAATTTAAGTTAAGCATACGTATTTTATTATTATTATTGTCATAGGTCAGCAAACGAGCAGACGCATTACCTGATGGTTAGCAATCTACGCCACACATTGACACTCGTTATATCAAAGGAGTTACTACTAGTGCGTTACCGGCTTCTTGTGAGTTATTAGGGATTAAAGGATAGGGAATTTGAGGATTGAGGGAAGCGAAAGGGGAGGGTTGGATCTCCGGTCCGATCTCCTTACTCACACGGAAAAACAACCAGTGTTCCTTCACGCCGGTTTTCTGTGAGGCCTTGGTGTCACTCCGGTCGAGCATTTGTACCGAAACGTGGCTCTTCCATATAAGAGGCAGGATCTAAAGTCTACTAGGGTTAGTAGCGCGTCTGTCCAATAACTGCACACAGATGTACCTCAAATATACTCCAAATGTTTGCAAAAGTAACATAATACTCGAAAGGAGTATTGTCGGGCTTCACATCTTGCTCAGTAATCGCACTTACAACCACGTAAGCAATAAGGAAAGCAGTAAATTTTAATTTCGATTAATGATTATTATCAAAGCGCTAATTTCAGCCTTAACTTTTTCCAGTACAGTTATATTTGCTATGGAAGGTATCGGCGTTGTCCTACCGGTTGAGAACACGATGGCTAAGCCAAACCACTTCCTCGGCTGCCCTGGTGTACTGAACATCACCATGTCAGTGGTCGTGCTTTTGTACATGATCATGGGTTTCTTGGGTTACGTGCGCTATGGAGATGCAGCACAGGGGAGTATTACTCTCAATCTGGACACTAAGGAAATGTAAGTTTTATTATTAACTTTACTGTAACAAAACAGTACTAGTTACTTCAAGATAACAATTTTGGAAAACGCCAATGAAATTTTGAGTACCTATTTATTTATTTGTAGAGTAGAATATATCATGACACATACTTGTACCAAAGACCATTTACGTTCGATTATGTTTATGGCCGTTTTTGAGCGCGCCGTGGCTAATTTATCTACTTACTTTTGAAAATAATGAATTACTTACTCACGTGAGTAAATAAATGACTATAAATACTGGCGGCGACGCCCAGCTTCTCACGAATAAGTCCTTTTGTGACTTAAAATTAAGAGTCATTTTGTGACTAAATAGTAAAGCTTTTTTTAGGTAATTCATTTGAGAAGTCAATATTTTAGCCAAAATCATTTATTATATGAATTTTGTAGTAAAAATGCACGTGTTTTTAAATTATTATGAGTCATTTTTTACTTAAAAAAATCCAATAAGCTCGTTAAAAATCTCGAATGCACATCAATGCACAAAAATCTTACTACCTACCCACTCAAAGAGTATGTAACCACTACGTTTACACTGATCATCAAAATATGCCACAGATTATTATTTTGCTGTATTTTTTTTTATAAAATGGAGACTTTTTAACGACAGTGGCCAGTGTTTTTTATTGTTTGATTTTAGTAAACCTACCCATGTAGCATTATAACTTTCTTTTTCAGCCCTGCAATGGTGGCAAAGGTTTTCATCGTTTTTGCAATTTTCTTCACTTACACGCTACAGTTCTATGTTCCCATGGAAATAGTGTGGCGAAATACCAAAGAACATGTGGCACAGAAGTATCATAATCTTGCGCAAGGCATTATTCGAGCTGTTTTTGCTATCCTAACAGGTGAGTTGTATAAAATCGTGAACAGAATATGTCAAATTAAAGTTAAAAAATGTAAAGATACCTATAAGATAAATAAAATAAAAATTAAAAATAAAGACAACAGTAGAAAGTATCCATTTATTTATTATGTTATCTGAGTTTTTGTTTTTCTCTTTACAGTGGCAGCAGCGGCTACTTTACCTCGCTTGGAACAAGTGATAGGTCTAGAAGGAGCATTCTTCTACTCTTTCCTGGGCCTCATTGCACCATCAATCCTAGACGTTATTTTCAATTGGGAAAGAGGTCTTGGAAAGTACAATTGGATTCTCGTCAAAGATATTATATTAATAGTTTTTGGGACCTTTGTACTTGTTGCTGGTGTTACTCAAAGTCTTAGGGAAATAATCGGGTCAAAATAAATAATTATATATAGATTAAAACGTGATAAAGTGTTTTCTACTTTAAATGTTTATAATGTAAATATAGATTAGCGATTTATCGTAAAAGTGAAATGTAATAATGTACTTAATTCTAACAATTAATTATTAAGATATTTTTTCGTTAAATGTGGCCTGGCGTTCTACACAGCGTTAAGTCAAACATTAATGTAAAATAAGTTAATAAAATATTTTTTTACATTTGGGACTATTATTTAGTGCTGTTACACATTGATAGATGCTTGACGCTTGATAGTTTAAAAAATAAGTGTTTTATCCAAAAACATTACAAACGATTTGGAACACGTAATCAAATGTAAACATTGACTCTGTAATAACTAACCGAGAAAAATAGTTGCCTGCTGGTGAGATTCAATTCTCAAATTATTGTGAAAACACTTATTTTTGTTTAGGTTAAAAATATCGAAGCATTTTTGCTTCTACCGCCTATTTTTGACATTTCGGAAACCTACTTACACCTACGGTAGGTACCTACCAAAGAGTATGTAACCACTACGTTTACCTACTACAAACATAAAAAAAAAAACATTTAAAAAAACTGCGCAGTACTACCTACCAGATTAATTATCGGGTTAACCGGCTATGTGCCCGTGAGAAATGCTAAACCATGAAGGTTGAGTACCTATATGTCGCTGGTACAGAAAGCCAAGTGCGCCACCTACCACCAAGCAACAGAGCTATACTAGTTTTTTTAGTAAGATGAGGTAAGCTGTTTTTGAAAAAGACTAACACCACTGAATACATGGATATCAAAAATCTTCAAGATGAATTCGGCCTGACCGAGTTGTTTATTCTATTAAAATAAAATCGTCTCCACAACTTAAGCAATTGTATACCTACCCAAAAGCAATCGTTTAACTATTTATATCCCTGTTGTTTAAATCATATTTACTATACCCAATAGAAATTTGAGGCAAAGCAGATAAAACAAATTTGCAAGAAAGACTCGTACAAAGAGAAAACAAGATCATCTATTTTTTTACCTATACCTATTGTATAGATACCGACTGTCTAAATATATTACAGATTTTTTTATCCAAAGTTGTATTAATCCAGGAGAGTACTATAAATTAATAAAAATAAAAAATGTTGAGTGGGTGCCTACCTGGTTAACATTAAGCATCTTGTCGCTATTATTGTTTTAAACTAATATTGACTAAAGATATTACTTATAGTCTCAAATTATGTTGAGATTGTGTTACGTTTGGTAACAGTTTTTTACTGACTTATCTCGGTGGCGGATAATTTAATGACTGAACTAAATGTTAATTTTTTATTCCCATGTAAGTGGCTTTATTGTCTTGGGAATAATTAAAACTCGTACAAATGGCAGCACAGAAAACATAAGGCCATTGTCAATTTGGCTTAAAAGGCTTGTATCCAGGCCATAAACTCCAATAAAAAAAAGCCATTGTCAACTCAGTTGTGATTTGACAATGACAGTTACATTAAATTTTGACAGATGCTACAAATTTGATGACGGCGCTTAGTGGCGGTAAAATCAAAATATTTTACTTGTTTACTAACCACATCTAAAAGAGAAAAACCCTCTGCTTCCTAATTAAAATTTCTAAGAAATAAGGTCATTGAGATATGAAAACAAACATATAAATAAATATCATAGCTAAATTTCAAGATATAAAGTTCGTAATAATTAGCAAACATGAGTAAACTAAATCACATAAACTATTTTAGGACCGATTGTCATGTCATCGACCAAAACAGTGAAAGGTAACTACAAATCATGTACCAGACCAAAATAAATTCCTCGCTCTCACAGGTCGCTAAACGTTCTTCAACTATTCACAGTATTCGTCAGTTAGAACAACGCGCGAAGCAGAATCTACGCAGTATTGTAAAATAATCATTTATTATGCAATAACAGCAAATTTGGGCATATGTTTTACTTCGATAGTGATTTAAACAAGTGCTCGTGGAATTTTATACATATACCCTAATCTGAAAATGCCTTTCTCAGATAATACTAAAGTTGTGAGTGATTTTATTTACTTTTGAGGTTAAGTTTTACATGAAATTGATAAATATTAATAATATGGCTTATCTAGATTGATAGGCACGGTATTGAATTGATAATAGCTCACGTAAGTTTACCGGTGTGAAACTGGATTATTGTATTGAAATAAGCAGCAGGGAAAGAACATGAGTTTGGTTAGTAACTTAGTGCCATAAAAGTGCACCGTAACGCGTGTTGTAATTTTCATTCCGTCAAATGTTGATTAATTATTCCGATCATTCCATTCAGTTATCAGTGGACTCATCGTTACAACGTCACCCGCACGCGTTTTATTGAATAAATTTATATAATTTGTATCTTGAGGCAGTTCAAGGTCTAAAATGAACTAAGTTTTTACTCTCATAAGTTTGACCTTAACAGTTGCTGGTTTACCCTCTACGATATGCGTGTGCGCACATCACATTAAATCCAATAAAACTGTCCAGTGAATCAATCTTGTTCATAGTGTTTGTAATCTAGTGTTATAAATATTGTCATAATGAGTAACTTAGAGGCGGCTGTGGCGGATTTTTTCGAAAATATTCAAGTGGGTACCTGAGACTATAAATAATCCTACTTATTTGAGTAAAAATACTGTTAAACTACTTATAATTTGTTGCTTATTTATTGTTCTAAGCACAAATAAGTAGGTATCTGAAACCAACTTTTAATTGTTACTCAATAAGTTTTGAACTTTGTATCCCTTTGTAAATGTAGTTAAAGGCTTAAAATGTTGTAGTTAGTTTGTATCTATAGTGATAAAACACTAGTTTCTTTTTCTGAATCATTATTCACACCTGGTTATAGGTACTGAAATAGGTAATCAACTAAAAACTACAGAATTTCATTCTGTTCTGTAATGTAAATAAAAAATCTAATCAAAATTAGTTTAGAACATTAGTTCACAAAGTTCCTTTAATCACTAACTCATACATAACTAACTTACATTAGCATAAAATAAGTACTTATTAATAAAGAATGTCTTCATTTTTAAAAAGTAGTACAAAAATATTTTATGTCTAAAACCTAGTGAGTAAATGAAATGAAATGAAATCTTTACTTGTGATGCGTAATGAACTAGTCATTGAATATCATCATATTCATTGCCAATCAAAACTCTTAATGAAAATATGTATCACCCAATTACAGTAATTTCGAAAGTTAGACTGCCAATAATCAATCCTATGCTTGATAGTAATAAAATCCATTTTGCAGGTGGTGCCTATTGTATTGGGTGTAGGGTCAATAGTGTTAGTAACAACGGTGGTAGCCCACTTAGTATGGGGCAGGAAACCAGCCAAGAAAGAAGTACAAGCTCCCAAGAAGAGCTCTCAGCTCATCACATTACAGGACCCTAATGTGAAGTATGCTCTACCTCTGATTGAGAGAGAGGAGATCAGCCATGACACAAGGAGATTCCGGTTTGGTTTGCCAAGTGCACAACATGTTCTAGGTAAGTCCATAATTAAAATAGCAAAGAATAATTATCATAATATAATCACTTTGTGAATAAAATCAATTGTTTTAAAATGTAATGTCTAAAATTTACTGTCCAAAAACGATTGTCCTTGACATTTTAAATACCTAAAAAAACAAAAGAAAAGGCTGCCAAATAATTAGATATGATATTCTATACATATAAAACTTTAAATTTAAACAATAGGTCTGGGTCTCATGACACAGTATCGCTGCTCTTGTCACCTTGGATCAAATTCACCTTGATTTAATGTTTTTAATTATCACTACATCAGTAATATAATGTGCTTTAAATTATTAATGATATAAAGTATACAACATATTTACATTTACAAAAAGTTAAGTTAGTAGGTTTTTTTTAAGAAAATGTAAGTAACTTATTATATTATTTACAGCATAAAAACAATACTAATATAAAACTTGTCCTTAGTTCAATAAATCATTAGTCATGCTATTCTTATGAAATTATTATAAGAGATTTTTATTCTAATTGTATTATCACCAGTTATCAAACAATAATGTAAATGATAAAAATAAAAGGACTTCAACCAAGAATTTAAGATAAAATAAAATAAATTACAATTCAAATTTAAAATATGGCTTTGCATGAAACTGTTTTTGTTTCTTATTTTCTCCAGCATTTGTGACTGGCCCGAAAGAATAGGTTGCTTATGGGTGGGAAATTAAAAAAAGCATATTTCCATTATGTAGAATTTAAAAAATTGCCTTAACCCAATTGTTAATTCTGAATGTTCAATCATACATTTTACATGAAATTTAATCATAACATATTTGGTAACCAAAATAACTAGCCAGGTACATAAATTAGTGCCTAGTATAATCATTTTGCAAATTGAACAACAGACTTATTTATATCCGTGCAAAATTCTCTTGCAGTAGTATACCTAATACATATTACTTATTTCTATTTGCATGTAAAAATAGTTGTCTGCAATGGCAATGTCTGATTGAAAGAGTAAATGAACTCTATGCTATCTGAAAAAATTGTTGTAGGTATTTGCCAACTTGTGTGTTCTCTAGTGTTACTTTTTATATTTCAGGCTTGCCAATTGGCCAGCACATTCATTTGTCGGCTAAGATTGATGATGATCTCGTTATCAGATCCTACACTCCTGTGTCCAGTGACGATGAGAAAGGATATGTCGATCTTGTCATTAAGGTATGTACACATGTTATTATTGTTAACATTTTAAATATTATGTATAACACAGTACAAATAGAAGGTTGTTCAAAAGTTATACAGAACTGTTTTCAATCTTAGGCTTAGAGTAACAAAGTCTAAATTTGACCGGTAATTTTGTTAATTTCTTGTAGATAGCAACTGTTAATCAGACACGTAAACAAAGATTTCGTTGATATAGCATTCAGCTCATTACAGGCGCCTATCTACTGATAATTTTCAATATTTCAGTACATGCCTGCTTGAATATAATCTTAATGTTATCTTAGAATAACAAAACCTAGAGCTACGTGATACATTCAACGCCTTCAAGTTTTACAACACCTCAATTTACTGTATTAACTTCCTGAGATTACGTATTTCCTGAAAACTCGTAATAATATTTAAAATATAGCTAAATAAATATTTTTTAATTTACGGAATCTACAACTATTAGGTAATATGAGGCAGGCAAAACTTATCAATTTTGTGTGAAGATATAAAAATGTCTTCAAACAAACATGATCCTAATTAATAAATTAATAATTAATAAATTTGCTCACTTTGTGTCCTTAAATTCTTTTTCGAGAATGCTTGCAATGAATTAGCTATACCTAGTATGTAAGACTACCTACCCAGTTTTATTAAAATCAGCTCAGTAGCTTGCATGATTTTTTATTTCAAGACTGATGGGGTGGATGTAGAAAGGCTCCGTCTTTACAAGAAAGTTATACTTATAAAATGCAATGCAACCTGTTGCCAATTGCCATCCACTACTAAATGTAGGCTGCTTTTCTCCTTTAATAACTAGGGTACTTATTAAATTGGCCAGATAGAACTTTGAATTTCGCTAGCGCTTATAGTCAAATGTAAAAAATGTGAAGGGAATGAGTAGTATATAGTATCTCATTGACTTCCTTTATTTTTTACATTTATACTTTTATAATTTATTTACAGATTAATACTACATGTATACATACACAACAAATAATCATATAACAAGATATCAAAAAATTAAAAGATAATAGTGCTTCAATTAGATCATAAAATAATACCTATTATCTCTTTATTATATTTTATTCAATCATTTTGATACAATATCTTTTTATCAATACCAAATTGATCGCAAATAGTCATCATGACCTAGATTGTTCTATGGATTTTTATACCTAATATCATGTATAAATAGAATAGAAAGAAATAAATATATATAAAAAAATACCTATAGATGCAATTCTTTGTGTACTAGGTATATTAGATAGGTACCAAACTAGAAAGTCTAACCATAGATTATTTATATTTAGAGATAAATCCTATTTCATTTTAATATAAAACAATATATCGTATTTGGGCCTACCTAGGGACTAAACAGATTGGTTCGTACGTCTGTCTATCTGTCAGTCACCAAGCTGCCATAACATGAACTACGATAGTTAGACAGTTAAAATTTGGAAAGATTATGTATTTCTTTAGCAGCTATAACAACAAATACTAAGAACGGAATATAATTAATATTTAAGCGAGTTCACATACAAAAAAGTTGATATTGCTCAAACAAAGGGAGATGCGCGAGTCCGTACCTACCGCACTTTGAATACGTTATTAAAACTATGAGTTGAATGAAAAGCGTTCGATAAGAAACTAGATAAGTACCTACACGTATCTTGGGTTTTAATTTTAAATTATTTTATCCGTAATAATTTAATTCAGAAAAAGAACCGTAATTGTATGCGGTTATTTATACGTTTCCTTAGCGTTAATAATAAGATAAAGAAATTATCAAATACTGATGACGTATTCGTCTAATGACTATTAAATCCTATGTCAATAAATAATGATAAAAATAGTGATGAAAAATGATGAGTTATCAATAAATTCAACCTTACTAAGTAAAGCAGAATGTAAGGTTCTACAGGGACTACAGCTCTTATGATGAAATAATTACATATATGCAAAATGAATCCCTATATCATTTACAGCATATCTAATTTTCTTTATACTAACAGTATCCATCATTATTCTTATGAACGCTCATTTAAAAGTTAATAAATAAATAAATTACTCAAGACCTTCATCCCACGCTATAAGTGTCAACAATTTCAATGCAATTATTTTTAATAGTTACACTATTTCACTTATATTTTATTTCTTAGTATTCCATTTTCTAACAAGGCACTTGCTTACAAGTTAGAACCTACTTATTATTATTAAAAGAGCTGCTATTTTTTACATAGTACTTTGGTAATTTTTTTTTATGAATGTGTCCCAAGTTCAGCTTAGATACTTAACTCATATACATACAACCACGCATATCATTTTCTAAACCCCAGTTTCCGAAAGGCCGATCAATTGTTAAATCAATTTAATCTCTTGTCAAGTCATCTGATTGGTTGGCTGAATTATCAATAACCAATCAGATGACTTGACAAGAGATTTAACAGGAGATTAGTTAATTTTAGCATTGACAAGCCTTTCAGAAACCGGGTGTAAGTCACATATGATAAGTAACTATAACGATCCATATACTTTTTCATTTCAGGTCTACTTCAAAAATGTGCATCCTAAATTCCCCGACGGCGGTAAGATGTCTCAACACTTGAATAACTTGAAGATCAACGACACTATCGATGTGCGAGGACCTTCAGGAAGATTACAGTACGCTGGTAATGGGAAATTCCTTATTAAGAAATTGAGGAAAGACCCACCAGTAACTGTTACTGCCAAGAAACTCAACATGATTGCAGGTATACCTACCTATTTAAATTTAACATCTTATACATACCATGATAAGACAACATATCGACTGTTTACGTCACATTTTATCTCCAATATCGTGTTTCATGCATGACTTTCAAATATACGTATTAAATAATAATATAACTACATTTGTCTTTGGTCTGGGCGATTCATAGTATGCTGTTCTTATGATATCTGTTAAATGTAAAAGCTGCTTTTGCTATTTCAGTACGGATAGTTCTTCGGTTCAAAAATAGCCTACCAACTAGCTAGAAAATGCAATTGTAATAAAATATATAGATTGTATTGTTACATTATTATAAACTCGCACAGAAAGGTGTCGCAAGGTGATATCTTAATATAACTCTCATAAATAACAAGTAATCTCTTGTAGAGCTACAACTAATTACAGGCTATTAAACTGTCATTAAGCACAAATTAAATATTCATTCAAAATATACTTGAGCAGTAACATCTAATGGAATTGACTAAATCAAATATTCATAAGCACCATAGACAAATTACCTACACATAATTACACAATATACATGGTGTCCTTTTAATAACATAACGTCTTAGTCATGCTTTCATTACGTTTAAACGTTTATAATTAATGGGTATTAGTTATTAATTTCTCCGTTGTCTCGGCAGGTGGCACTGGCATCGCGCCAATGCTCCAACTCATCAGACACATATGCAAGGATGGCAATGACCCCACGGAAATGAGACTGTTGTTTGCCAACCAGACTGAAGAAGATATCTTGTTAAGAAATGAACTCGAAAAGTACCAAAGTGAACATCCTGAGCAGTTCAAAGTGTGGTACACTATTGACAGACCTAGCGAAGGTGAGATGCAAGTTTAATATATACACGATTGGCGCTAATTTACTTGTAGAACAAATTTTTGTTACTACACGAAAAGTTTTTTCTACTTCGGCAATATTTATTAAATGTGAATCATACCTAAGTTGGTATAACAATTGACAAAACGTTCTAAACAGTATGATGACATGAAATACGTAAAAAAATCATCGAGAGAAACCTTGACTTGAATGAAGTATAAAAAATTGCAAGTAATGATGAATGTTAATATCTTATGAGAGTTTATTTGGACTTTGAGCTCTAAATCTATGGAACCAGTTGTTGTACTTAATAGATCCTAAGTATAATTTATACTTCGATTCTACTAGAGTTCACATATGGACCCAGTATTTTTTGATACTGATTTTTATATTTTTTATGTGTACTACCATAAAAATTATAAAAATCGGGATATTTTTTTTTATCTAAACTCGGTACTGAGCCGAGTTACAAAAAATTGTGTACTTTATAAAAATACAGGTTGTTCGAAAAGGACAACAAAAAATAAAATTTGTAATTTGTATTTTTTTCTTTTTTTGCAGGCTGGAAATACAGCGTAGGTTTCATCAATGACGAGATGATCAGTCAGCATTTGTTCCCGCCAGGAGATGATGTCATCGTCCTCATGTGTGGACCTCCTCCAATGATCAACTTTGCTTGCAACCCAGCTCTTGAGAAACTCGGCTACGCTGAATCACAACGTTTCGCGTATTAAGAACAGTTACCGGGAACGCATAACTAGAATTGGTTTGGAATGTCGACGCGTTAGTTCATTGTTATTTTTAATTATGTTGGTAGTTTTCAGCTTTGTAGTTTGATATTTTTATATAAACAATACAATTAACTTTTTTGTGTACGCACAAATGTAAACTGACTAAGGAAAAAGTTAAACTACTACCTACTTTTTTATAACTAAGGTAGACTCAATTTTGTTCCAATATTCGCATTTTGTCAGCTCTTTAACTGCCAATTCCAATTATTTGTATTTTATATAGGGGTATAAAGCGATTTAAAGGACATCACTGATTCATTGAAGTCACAAGCAATACAAAATAACTTGGTTTTGTGTCCAAGATATTTTGCACAGTTGATAGCAATAAAAACTCGTTGTGTTTGTATGTGAGAGTTTTTTAAATAGTCTGTGTCTAGTTGTTGTTGATTGTTTAAGTACACATTGCTAATTGTAGTGAGTAATTGCAGTACATTAAATTAAATATTATATTGTTACATATCTTGTCTTGTCATTCCATTGCATTTCAACATTACCTATAAAGGTCCTTAAAAATAAGAATACTTACACTTAGTTTTATATCTTCGTTACAGTCATGTTGATCCATTGACAAAACCAAGTATTCAGCTTAATAGCTAAAATAAAATGATGCATTCTAGATAAAATTCTAAAATATCGTGATCGATACATGTAATAAGTGAAATTGATTTCAAAGCATTCTTATTTTCCCTAAGGTTTTCCCCATGGGAGTCGTCAAGTCAAGTCGGAATTGTTAGTTCGTTTTATAATTTTTTTTCTGTCTAGAGCAAGTGGGTGAATATTGTGATCGTATTTTGTGTAAGTAATCAATACACAACATGAATAAAATACGAAATCTCGAAGAAGTGTCTGCGGATATTTTGAACGACGATTTCATTGAAATCTTTCAACCAATCTTCATTTTACTGCGGATCCTTGGCTTCAGTCGCATGATTATAAAATACCGATACCCTACCGAACCTTCAAAGTGGTATCATTTTTACAGCAATTGTTTCTGGATCATAAACACATGTTGTCTCGTATATTTTTTTACATACTGTGGAAACGGCTTTGCGTCTGAATACGCAGACTCTACGCTAAAATTCGGTGTTCTAGTAAACGGGATCAACGGTATACTGATAGTTTGCCGAAACAATTTGCGAAGGAGTAACAAAATTTGTGAAATGTATGTGAAATTGCAAAAAATAGAAAGGCACCTTATTATGAAAAACACTAAAAGTGTGAACAAGAATATTGTAAAGTTTTCTTGGTTCATTGTATTGGGCGGTTGTTTCTTAGCGTTCATGTGGATTGTATTGTTTAACACCGTGTTTATGGGAAGAACATGCCTACCTCTAGTAATGTTGATATCGACTGGTATTGGACTGCTTACTGAGATTGCAGAAGTTTACTTTGTCATACATCTCGTTATATCGAGGGTGAACTACTTAAACGATGTATTACGTCAAGAAATGTTAGATGTAAATGACCCTAGAAAGAAAGGCAATGAAGGAAGTCTCTACTTCGTAATTAATTCATACGGCAATCAAAATTCTAGTCTCACAAGCGAAGTTGTTACTGCTACGTATAATATTTTAGATGCGTTATCCGATTTTACAGAACTTTTTCAATTTTCGGTGAGTCTTAGAGTTTCTCTTACACATTTATTTATTTCTAACTAGAATACTACTAACTAGCGTTTCATTTCAACAGTTATTTTATTTCGTCTGCCAAATCTTGGCCTGGAATTTGGTATCCATACATTCTCTTATAACTTCACTGAAAGAACAGGTAAGAAAAATAAGTTATTTTGAGACATCGTTTTTTTTAATGTGATAGGGCGCCAAACAATCTGACGGATTACCTGATGGTAAGCATTTTTTTTTACTTGCAATAAACTAGTGCTTGACTGCGATCCCACCTGGTGATAAGCAGTGATGCAATCGTTGATGGTAAGGTGCACTAGTTTATTAAGAGCCTATTCACTCTAGCCTTGAAGACATCTAAATTATATTCGGACGGAAAGACTGCAGCCGGCAAACTGTTCCAATCCCTGTTGCAATCAGTGCCCGCAACAACGGAAGAGTTACGAGTGCGTTGCTGACCTTTTAGGGAATAGGGAATGGAGAATGGAGAGTAATGATTGGGCCTCCGGTAGGTAACCTCAATTTCTACCTCCGGTTGCTTCACATCGGTTTTCTGTGAGGCCGTGGTATCACTCCGGTCGAGTCGACCCATTGGTGACGAAGCATGGCTTTCCCACACTTCAGTTATGTATTATCTGCTTATAAATTATGTAATTTTAATTCACAGAGGGCAGTCGATTATGATTTAATGTTATACGTGATGCCTCTCCTCTTCAATAAGCAGTTTATAATGCTAACGTTATGTCTCAAAGCTCAATCATTATCAACAAAGTTAGAAGAATCAAGGAAACTATGTATCGATATCGTTTCATCATGCTTTAATGACTGTAAGTAATTATTTTGATGGCATTTAAAAAACTCTGTTTTGTTTTTAAGTACTATTTTAATTTAATTGTTTTAATTGTCACCGATGCCTTATCTTTAGCTACCAACATAAAAATTGTTGGTTTGTTAGTATTTTTATTGTTTAAAGAGAGACTTATTAGGACAAGCTAAATGTTTAATTTGGCAAATCTGTAGTTTCTACGTAAATAAGTAGGTATCTAAAAGAGCTAAAGCTAAGACCTACATATTTATTTATTTAAACTTTATGCAACTAAACATTACATAGGCGGACTTAATGCCGTAGGCATTCTCACCAGTCAACCTTAGGGTGATACAGAGAGAGTATGGTAGGTGCAACAAGAAGAGAACTTTGGGAAGATAAATTAAGATTTAAAATACAACAAAAACACTAAAATAAATAAATATTTATATATATACAGAATAATATAATTATACTGGTATATGGTGGTATGGTTTATAAAATAATAAGGGTTTTATGATGATGGTTCTAATAACAGTCCATTCAAAATGTGCTTACGCAATTCAGCCTTAAACAATTGCTTACTGGTAGCCTTCCTGATTTCCAAGGGCAACCCATTCCACAGGAGAATGGATTGAATGTAAAAGGATGAATGGATAGTATCAGAGCTATGAGAGGGACAATGAAGAAGAAGATTATGAGAAGAGCGAAGATTTTTAGAATGACCAGTGTAGCGGTAACAAAAGTAGGAGGTTAAATAAGAAGGCGAAGTTGGAGAGTTGAGAAGTGAAAAAAGAGTTGTCAAAGCGCGAAATGCTCTTCTTTGGCGAATTGGCATCCATTTCAACTCGGACCTGTACTCAGAAACATGATCGTACTTCCTCAGGTTAAATACGAACCTTATGCAGTTATTGATGAGACGATCAAGTTTATTGAGCAAATCCGAACCGAGATCATAGTAACACACGTCAGCATAGTCGATTATAGGAAAGATTAAAGACTGCACAAGCATTGCCTTCGTCCTAGGTGGTAGAAAATTCCTAAGTCTATTTAGACAGCGCAACGTCCCATCACCCTCTGACTAACACTTGAGACCTGAACCTGCCAGCTCAGCGTGGCATCTAGATGCAAACCCAGGTCCTTAACTGAAGAACTAAAGGGGATGACACTTCCATCCAATGTCACTGAAGGAACACTTTCGATCTTCACTCTGCTAATCATTCGAGGACTGCCGATAACTATGGCCTGACATTTGCCAGAATTTACTGATATGCCAAATTGACTAGACCAACAACTGATGGTTGTGAGATCATTATTCAGCTTATCGATGGCTTCATGCAGATCTTCCGGCCGAGCCTGAGTGTAGATCTGCAGATCATCGGCATACAGATGATACGAACACTGAAGATTAGATGTGATAAAATTAATAAAAAGAGAAAATAACAGTGGAGAAAGAATACCGCCTTGTGGAACACCAGCTTTAAGCTCGCGCCAATCTGACACAGTCTCGTCAACGCGAACCGCCTGCCAGCGCCCCCGAAGATAAGATGAAAACCACTCCAGTGCCCCAGGCGAAATCATAAGATGGGAAAGAATGGATTCAAGGATATCGTGGCTGACGGCATTAAAGGCATTGGAAAAGTCAATTAAAACCAAGGTAGTAACTTTTGTGTCTTGAATCCCTTCTCTAATGTCGCCAGTCACTTTGAGAAGTGCTGAAGCGGTGCTGTGCCCCGGTCTGAATCCGGACTGTAAAGGACTTACAAGGTTATGCCGGTGGACGAAACATGACAGTTGCCTGTGCACGCACGCCTCCAACACTTTGGAAAGAAAGGGGAGGATAGAGATAGGCCTAAAATGGGAGGGAAGGGTCGGGTTTGTGATTTTTGGAAGGGGACGGACGTAAGCATAACGCCACAGGGAAGGAAACTGTCCTGAGTATAAGGAAAAATTAATGATGTGGGTAATGGATGGCAAGATATACTCAAGGATAGGGATAACCATACTGCGACTAATTTCATCATAGCCAGTGGCTTTCGATTTTATGGATAGGATGGTTTTATTGATATCGCCCGCAGACACTGGAGAGAATTTGAAGGTGTCCGAACAAGGATGAGGAAAGTTATTAATAAAGTCTACCGTTTGCCGAATGGTTTGACGATCCAACAGGGCAGCGGTTGTGAAATGTTGATTTATATCGTTCAAACCAATCGTCTTAGGTAGCTCTATATGATTTGATTTGCCGATACCTATTGTTCCAAGGAACTTCCAGGTGTCGGCCGCAGAACTGGTTAATATGTTATCAAGAATATGTCGGCGTTTAGCATTACGTATCATCTGGTTACATCGATTTCTGGCTAACTTAAAGAGAACCCAATTCTCCTCCGACCTATCACGTCTGTACCTCCGAAAGGCGCGATTCCTCCGTCTCATCGCCATACGCACCCCCCTCGACATCCATGAAGCCGGCGGACGTTTAACTTTTACACTTTTGATTGGTGCATGAATGTCGTAGAGGTTTTTGATCATGCGATTTAGAGTAGCAACCTTATCGTCAATGGTGGCGGAATTGGATACCTCTGCTTCCCACTCAAGCTCGGAAGCGTTTTTACGCAGCTTGTCTAAATCTAACCCCGCAAAACAACGCATGCGCAGTACTTTAGGAGTAGGTTTAGGAGGCTTTATGTGGTAGGACACATAAATCAGGTCGTGAAGGGAGAAGCAAGGAGAAACATATCTGCTTTATGAATCCACTACATAAAAGCACCCAGTACAAATTCCATCGTGTTGTTAGTAATGAAAACAACACAAAGCTCCTTTTTGGGTCCTTGGATCACTAGAGCCATATGCAATTCCTGCAAGACCTATACGGTAGTTTCCAACTAGTCAAATTCAATACTTTCAAAAACTATGTACATTTCTATTCTATGAAAATTGTATGAAAAACTGAACTGAGCGTCATAGTTTAAAAATTAAGTAAAAAATATCTAAAAATCAGTGTAGGTATAGATCGATTGATGAATGAAAGTATAGTTATTTTTCAATATTTTATTGTATTGAAACATTGAATTAATTTTAGTCCAAAATGTTTGCATTTACGTATATTTACTTAGGTACATTATAAATCATTAGAAAAGGAAATCAGCCCTAATCAAATGATTGCCAAAAAAATTGTCCTCATTTATTTTTATTTTCACAGGCAAATCCCGGGACTATGCTAAGCAAATTATATTATTGGTCGAAGGAAGACGAAGTTTGTCCATTTACAACATTTTCACGCTGGGAACTCGACTGCCCTTACATCTGTTAGCTGTTACCGCGAGTTATACCATAGTACTTTTACAGTTTGCATTATTATAAGATATCAAAGTGCTTTTACGTAACATGCTATTTTAGAAAATATAAGAACACTACATTCACATTCCTAGTTTGATTAGAAAATATAACATAAACTATGAAACTGATAAAAGATACAAAAATCGAATATCTTTCCAAAGATATTCTAGAAGAAGAATTCATAAAATCTATAAGACTTATGTATCGTTTTCAAATGTTAATGGCATCTACTCGCATTGATCTGAGAGAGCGCTTCGTGACTATTCCGTCGTTGTTTCAAAAATCCCTAACGCTGCTCAGCGTAGTTCTCCTACTTGGGTTGGACTACGTAGTAATCCATAAATACGATACAATTCTATTTGATAATGAAACTATTTATTACTTAAGCACATGTGTGACGCTATTGCAAACGCTTACGTTCATATGCAACATTATTCATGTGAGATTCTTGAACTGTGATGAAAATGTCGAATTGTTCGTCAATCTGCAACAAATCGACCGGTGTATGAACATACACCGTAACAAAACTTTAACTGCCCTACTTTTGAAGACAAATATTTTTTCCCTCTTAGGCCTATTCCTCATATTCAGTGCACTTTTTGGTGTTGCTACAGTGAAAGGAACTGCGGCATTTTGGCCTTACGTAGGAATTGCATACTCCCAACTTAATTTTGTCTTAGAACTAATATGCTGTTCAAATATATTCGTATATTTTTACATACGAGCACGTTTCATCAATTCTATAATCAAAAATTTTTTGGATCCAAAAAATACTCAAGAAATTCTTTATTCAAGAAAGCGTTCATATCTTTCGTTTTCTACCAAAACTTTTATGAGACGTCTGGCTGCTCAAACTCATAGTTTCCTGACAAGTGATACAGATATTTATTTGAAACAATTATTGGATGGCTTTTTCAAATTTCAGGACATCTACAAATTCCAAGTAAGTACTTATCCACCAATTCTATACTAATCACCTTGGTACAAACAAAATAAATTATTTCTTTTATACTTATTTTTGTCCTAAAACGTCGGCAAACAAGCAGACGGATTACCTGATGGTAAGCAATCAGCGCCACCCATAGGCTCTCGTAATAGGTACCGAAGGATTTTCTACAAGTGCGTTGCCGGCCTTGTTGGTTATAGGGATTTAAAGATATGAGGTTTGAGGATTGATAATGGGATGGGGATTGGGCCTCTGGCATTAAGCAAACATAAATTGCCTACACCTTGCTTATTTATATTTCGCAGATTTTCATGTTTTGCTGTAAACTAGTTGGATCCAGTATATTAACATTCGAATTTATGCTGTTTGCTGTGCAGAATGATGTAAGTTCAAAACAGATTAGATCAACCAAGCCTGACGGTTTATGGAGACTACTTAATTTAAACTTAACACAAGGCTCTTGGTAGGTACCTACATTACACTATAATTTAATATTTTTACAGACTGTAGGCATCTGGGATAGCCTGACGCCTTCATTTTTCACCATAATCGACTTGGTAATGGCACTATTGCTGGGGATTCGTTGTGAATGGTTTATCAGAGAGGTGAAGGAAACTAAACGACTGGCGGTAGCTGTTATGTCAAAGCATTTTGATGGTTAGTGACCTATAAGTACTTCTACATACATACCTAAGTAATTACATATTTATAAACTACCTGTCCAAAATTAAACAATAGCCATAATTTTACCAACTATTATTCGGATCACCTGATGATAAGCAATCGGCGACACCCGAAGAAATCCATACGTTCACTGCATTTTGGGTGAAGGCGAGGGAAAAGTTGGGGCTCCGGTAACCTCAATCTAAAGGAAAAACAGAACGCAAACATTATTTCACCCCAAAAACAAATTCAACACGTAGATGATATACCTAAGTACCTACCTACTACCGGTCCATAAGTAACATTATTGGTACCTATTGTTCTTACTCCGTGTACCTACCTGTAGTGAATCCTGATCCATAAACACAAACTCACATTTTGTCCAAAGAGGGTAGTTAGAAACCACAGAGCGCGACATACGTCCTTGTCTATCTTTCACATTAAAAGCATAGTAATACCTAGATATAGGAACGGACGAATTGAGAATCCAACTCCCTTTTTGTCGGGCACGCTATTAAGACGCGGTAAGACCCCTCTTTGAGGAGTGGCTTGAGAGACGCCACGGCGTCCTCACCTTCCGCCTGACGCAGGTCCTTACCGGGCACGGCAGCTTCGGTAGGTTCCTGTTTCATATCCAGCGGGAGGAAATGCCCGAGTGTCGTCATTGCGAGGACCACCTAGAGGATACCTACGGTGGAGCATACGGTGGCGGTATGCCCTGCCTGGGCTGAGCTAAGGTCAGCTCGCCGCCCGACCAGAAGCAGGCCCGAGCGTACCGCGAAGCGCGAAGCGTTCCGCGCCCGCCTCAAAGAGCCAATAGACCAGAGGGGCCCTATAAGGCTGATGTTCAGCCGGGGTTGCGGGGTAAGCGCAATGAGACACCGCGACCTCGGCCCAGAGCAGGAGAAGGAACAGGGGGGTTTTTAGTCAGTAAGAGTCTGACACTCCCTCCCGCCCTGCCCTGGGCGGGAGAAGTCATTTGATGATTTTCCCCTCACAAAAAAAACTCCCTTTTTGTAGTCGGTTAAAAACAACCGTGGTATCGTTTCAATTTTCAGGTAGACTGAGGGAAAAATCAAAGAGAATGCTGAAACTCATAGAAGAGACGCCCCCACACTTCTCCGTGTACGACATGTGGCAACTCGACGCTAATGTTTTGCTACAGATGTTCATGCTGGTCACGGGCCTTATTGTCACACAAATGCAATTTGCTTTTTTGTAATTCAATTTATTTGACGACACCTACAGTAACACGTAGGTACCTACATCTCTGCACTACCTGTAAGATGATTGTCTGAAAATGGTGTTCGTTGGCATTAAGTCCTACGATATGTATAATAAATAAAATACATAATATGGATAGTGGTAAATAGGCTTCTAACCGTAAAATAGAGGCCCTTATTCTAAAATATTATAAGTAGTATTTTCTTACCCAGTAGCAATATCATGAAGTGAAGCCACACTCTCGTTGTTTTGCCGAGTGAGTAACTACCCACCGCAATCCTAAATCCTTAAATCCCTAATGACCGACAAACTGCCGGCAACACACTTGTAGTACCTCCATTGATATAACGAGTGTCTATGGACGGTGCTGATTGCTTGCCATCAAGTATTCGTCTGAACGTTTACCATTAAACTTATGATTTTGTTAGTTCTATTGTTTTGCGTAAAGTAAAAAAATAAAACAAAACTATTACACGTGTTAAAAAAAAACATTTATTTTACTTTGTGGCTTATAGTAAAAAATTAACAGCGATTTCGGACCGACCTATACATATTAAAAAAAATGTTTTTATAAATTGCGTCAGAATATAAAATATTGCGTAGAAAACTACAGTCTTAGAGAACAATGTTTAATGAGGCACTTATTTCTTAACTAAACCTATTATCTAATAAAACAATATCAACTGGACGGATTTATTTTAATACTATGCATTATCCACTGGAATGTGTTTCTGCTAATATACCTAAGTGTCATGTACAGTTTAGAGCAGAGTTAATCACAATATAATAGAAGCAGGTAAAATATATAAAATGTGCATGATAATTTCAATCTCACAAATTATTATTTATTACACATTCTTTGCAATATGTAGGTATAGGATAACTCAGTATTGAAACTGTACAATTCTATATAATACATACTAATAAAATTAAATGTATAATAAAGAAATAACATTTCCATCATGGAATTACCAAAATTTCCACTCCATGTATGCATGATGTGTTAAAAAACAATTATAAACATTATTTCAATTCATATAAAACCTCAATAAAGGACTTCATTAAAACATATTACATTATGCCAGCATTGGGAATTTATAGCAAATATTTATAAAATATTTACTAGAATCAGAATATTTTGCACTTAACTTTCTTGTGTTTAAAAATATATACACATGCTCTTCCTTCATAGCTACCTACAAATATTTACTTAACTATTACTGAATTCAGATCTTATCAAAGCTGTGTTTCTATAAGGTCACTTAAGCAAATTATTCTATTTTGTGAGGGCTGATTTTTTAATAGTCAGATAAATGTTATCTGAGGATTAAAATTGTTGCTGTCACTGTCTTTTATACAAATATTCTGACGCGATAGCATCATAATTATTCACCAGATAACTTATATCTACCCATTGAAAAATCAGCCCTATATATAATAAATCAAAAATAGAATTGATTTATAACATGAGGTTCTCTTTTTTGCATGCATGCAATCCAGCATTTTCCAACTAACCAAATTCAATTTCAATCGAATTTAATGAAATGTCGAAAACATTACTTATCTATGAATTTTGTATGAAATCGCAACATAATGTTTTTATGTCAAATAGCATACTTATTTCTGAAAAAGTAGCCAGAAATGATCTAAATTTAAGGTTTTCATCAAATCAATGAATGAAAGTATAGTTATATCTTAATAATTCAATGATTTGAAAAGGAAATTTTCTATTGATCTAGGAAACTACCCAATTAGCATATTCTAGATTATTGCTTTTAAATTGTAGTTACAACTTTATAGAAGTTACATTTCTGTTAAAAATACATAATTATTTGGTGTAACAACACTGTGATGTTTGTAGTCTGTATATCAGAACAACATTTTAGTGAATAGAAACATAATGCATGATGGGATTAGTAACGCCATTGTTGTCATACTTGATGCACCATTACATCTGTGGTCAAGGAAACAGAAACACCATATTGTTTCATCATACCAGTCCCTGTAACAAATTGATGTACAATAGAATTTGCACACATCATGAATAACATGAGTCAAATAAAAATAATTAAGTACAATAATATTTTTTAAGTTATGCAATATTTTGTTACAGAAGAATGTTAGATAGATAGAGCCAAAGAATTGATGAATAAGGCAAAGATCACAAATATTTTATTGATTTATAAATAGTAAATATTTTGCTTGGATTCAGTTGATCTTTAATAATTTACCAATATACTACCTTGTTATTAGTTGATAAGAAAAGTTAATAAATTTTTTTCTTATATACTACCTTGTTATTAGTTGATAAGAAAAGTTAATAAATTTTTTTCTTATAAAGTATTTGATTTTATAATATTCTCTAGAAACATCAGTTTCCTACAGCTTACTCACAGAAGTACTGAATTCATAATGGATTTCTTTGTGATATTTAGTTTGCTCTGGAGTCAGGGAATTGTTTGATGGTTCTTCAGCTAAGCTAACAGGAGCTTACCAGGGATAGTTTAGAGTAATAGTTTAAAAGTATTTACCTTTTAATGTCAAGTTCTTTAATGCTGTTATTGACATAGTTGGCAAGATTCACATCCCGAGCAGCTGGTCGGCAACCCTCATATGTGTCTGCAGGAATGTCTGTTCGAAAAGCTCTGAAGTTGCTTAAACAGTCCCTTGTTATCACTTCTTGTGCTGAAATTCAAACAGATCCCATTGGATTTCTTAACTGTGATTACAAATCATAATTTTATAGAATTATAAGATTAAACCAGATTAGAAATATGTGGTCTTATGTTGTAAGATTAAAAGAGATTGGTTTTAAAAGAGCAATCAGCCTTTGACTTTTATTATAGTATTTCAAAGACTTAAAGAATAATGAAAAAAATATTACCTCCTTTCCTTTCAATGAGCTTGACACAAATATCTTCATTTTCAGGGCAGGGGTTCCCGAGGTAACCAACACCGCGCCAGTTGAATGGTTCCATACACCCGGGCGTCGCAGCCGTACATTGATAGCACCATATTGCTAAACCTGTGGAATAACATTAAAATTGATAAAAGAATTACAAATATTTTGTAATTCTAGTATATTGGAACATTTTTCTTATGAGATACCAACGAATGGGCAAAGGCAAGCAATAAATACTATTTCATTGATAAAATTTTCTATCTTTGTCACTATTTCGATACCAAATACATCACAATTATTCTGAAGACAGGTTAAATACTATACATACGGCTTTGAAAAATAATTTACAATGGGCGAATTACCGATGTATTCAACATCGTTGTTAACCACACCCATGTTACAATAGCTATAGAAAATATTTTACATGTTTTTGGTACTTACTATGACTGAAAAACGATATAAACGACAGAAACCATATTATATGTTTCATTTTAATAAGATTTTAACTTAAAAGTACAGGAAAAACAGATATAGAGGGAACAAAACAAAACCGACAATAACGACTGCAAAAGTGCAAACAAACTTCTCCAGCCACAACCTTGTCCAGCGCAGTTTAACTGTCACTAATGTCAACGTCAAATCAACGTCATAGACAATTGGTTGTTGCGTTGTGTTGTAACATAGACAAACCATACTTTTTCAGAAACTTGAGACATTAATAATTATTAACAGCACATGAAAAAATCTAGCCTTAGTTTTTATATTCCACTATAACTAAAAATAGCTTGGCTTATGTTTCTAATACTAATTGGTGATCCGTATTTAGCTAAAACAATCTTCAGTCACAGGCTTAGTGTAGTAGTAGTGTAGGGTAGTTGATTCCCCATCACCTTTCTACCATCGGACAACTCAGCGTATGGTGGGTCCGTATTGATCCTTATAATGTTGAGACCTCTAACATCCGATTGAAGCGTTTCGCTTCGTCGTTTATACCACGCATACATAAGGATTGGTATAGCTTACCTACAACCGTCTTCCCGTCCATTTATGTTTTAGGTGTCTTCAAGGCTATAATAAATAGGCTCTTAATAAACTAGAGCGCCTTACCGTCAACATCACTGCTAACTGCTTATCAGGTGGTAATTAGTGGTGATGGTAGAATTCTTTTAGGACAAAACCTAACGTTGGAGTGTCCCAACCTTTGAAAAATTTTGATCTTCTGATCCTTCAGTTTAAAGAAATTGTTTTTATTCCATGTTAGTGTACGTCTATACAATAAAGTATTGCTGAACATAGGTTATAGGTTACTTAAAAAAATTGCCCGCACGAAGTTACTGGCAGTAGAGGCAATCACTAAGCAAATAATCACTACGTTAAAGAGACGGGAGCACTAAGCAAATAATCACTAGGAGTGGCTCAATAGGAGCCACGGCGCCCTCAGCTTCCGGCTGACGCAGGTGCTTACCGGACACGGGTGTTTCGGGAAGTACCTGTGTCGCATAGGTCGGGAGCAGACGTCTCAGTGCCATCATTGTGGTGATTGCCGCGACGATACGGCGCTGCATACCTTGGTGGAGTGTCCACCTTTGGCCGAGCAGCGCCGTGACCTGGTCCCGGCCGTAGGTGCTGCGGGAAATTTCTCGCTTCCGGCTGTAGTGTCTACTATGGTCGGGAGCGAGTCAGGGTGGAGTGCCGTCGCTACCTTCTGCGAGGCCGTGATGCTCGCAAAGGAGGCGGCGGAAAAGGAGAGAGAGGCTGCCTCCTCTCTTCCCTCCCGCAGCAGACGCACTAGACGTCGTAGGGTGGCCGACCTGCGGCCACCGTAGGGCGCGGCCTGCGGACGACAGACTCGGGCGTCTTGTCGTCTGACCAGCAGCAGGCCTCGAGGCGGCGGCGCCGTGTTCCGCGCGCGCCTCATAGTGGAGTCCTGCAGTCGGGGTGCCAATACCCGTCGGGGGGTTGCGACGAATGCTTCGGCGATACCCGCCCCTCCGACAAAATTAAATGGGTAAATGGAGGAACACCGGTTTGGTTTTTAGTCAGTAAAAGTCTGACAGTACCCTTCTCCCTTCCCCGAGGCGAGGGCTTGCAGCCTTACTGGTAGCATCCGTACTGTTTCTCACTGATTTTTTACACATCTAACTCTAAGGCATGTTTAGTGTGAAGTGATATTATGATTATATTTAAATAAAAATGCAAAAATATTACTCACTTAATCAGTTCGTATATTATGTAATTATTAGACGTTTATCTTTTTAATAGTAGAGATTGGACTGAGGTTTAAAACTGTGGAATCCATTTGCGGAAATCAATCCTCATTACCGCCTTCGTCTGCTAAACCTGTGTCTTGCTGAGGTTCTGCTCGCCTTTCCGGGTATGCAGTCGCTCTAAGCATTTGCATGTCCTCTTCATTCAAATCAATACACATTGTTGCAACTATATCTTCTATTCCGATGGTACCATCATTACTCATGTCGACTTCTTTAATAAGATTATCTAAATTACGTGCAGACATTTTATTACCCTGTTTCGACAAAACTTCTTTCAAGTATTCTCGTTCTACCAATCCTGTTCTATCTGGGTCGAATACTTGTAATGCAGACCGGATTTCCTCTTCAATAGGAAAGTCTCTCTGTCTTATTGTTACCATTTTTAAAAATTGTTCATAAATTATATGGCCCTCTGGATGTGGTGGTCTGCAACAAAAGGCCACTAGCTCTTGAAGTTGTTCACTTGTATATGTCATAATCATAAGACTTTTTAACATGTAAACTAATTCTTTTTCTGTAATAAATCCATCCAATTCAGCATATGCTGGAGTGTGATTTTGGAATAATTCCCATAATTTTTCTACTTCGGCTAACTGATCAGGTCGCAATTCATAGGGTGCTTTTATGGCTTCCTTAGAGTCACTAAAATCAAATGGAGCAGCTGGATCAGGAGGTGGTTCCTCAACGTATTGCTCTTCCTCTTCGACATGTTCTTCAGGTACAAGGCCTTCTTCGACTTTTTCTAATTCTTCACCATCCAATGCTTCACCTAGAGCTTCTTCTCCTTCTACGTTTTCGCCTTTTTCTTGTTCTTCTCCTTCAACATGTTCACCTTCGATATGTTCTCCTTCCGGAACTGTAGTTTCACCTTCAACATCTTCACCCTCTATGCCTTCTTCTTGCTCTATATGTTTTTCATCACCTTCCTCTGCTACTACAGCTTCACCTGTTTCCCCTTCAGGAAGTTCACCTTCTTTAACCGTATCACCTTCTGTACCTATCATTCCTTCCATTTGGTCACCTTCATTGGTTACTGTTTCACCAACTGTACTCGCTCGATCACTTTCTTTTTCGTGGTTTTCGCTAGCCTTAACCTCTTCAGCAGTCCCAGTATTTTCTGCAGTCGTTTCATTATCCATATTACTGATTTTTTTGTTGCACGAGAATTTTGAATAAGTATGTTGTGGACTTAATCTATTTTAAACTAAAAATTTATCACCGCATCGAGGCTTACTGAATTTTGTACGAAGTACAACAATTAAGTTATCCGTAATCTTGTCATATAAACTGAGGCTTTCTAAAGATAAATAATCTAAAATGTGTATTAAGTCATCATATAGTTCATCACGTATGTTACCTATAAAATTAAACATTTATGTAAAGGGAGGAAAATATTAAAACCGTATACGTCAATGTTGCGACTGTGCCTTTGACATATGCATGTTTTTTGTATTAACTTACATTTTAAACATTGAAATATTAAACCTATTTTTGCTTGACTATGAAACCTAATTTGTTTGTGGTGTCATTTGAAACAATCGGAATCAGGTTGGTATATAAAGTCACACACAAACACGTTACAGTATACACGTTATTAACATTAATAGTAAATACAAACTTACTTTAACCTCTTTATACTATTAGTAGGTATAGATAGTGGCGGTACCACTATTCCTAAATAAATCTATACTAAGCTATCAGTTTCAGTTGGTTGATAGTAGGGTACAATAAAAATAGTTAACTTATTTGTAAAATAAAAAACTTAAATTTTTAAACCGTAAAATCCACATTTAATGGGTATAAAAGAAAGAAGAAGTATAATAACCAATTTGGAACTCCGGGAAAAGACATAAGTAGTTTTTGTATTCCAAATCACAGCAGAACTTAAAGTATGCGAGTAAAACTGACTGACACTACTTATATCTTCAGAATTTTGTTTGACGTTCAAAAGTGCCTGTAATAGGCCCTCTATTTGGAATAAACGATTTTTTGATTTTTAAAAAAGCTTGTAAAAAATCTTAATTCCTGTTAAAGTCGGGCGCGAGCCTAAGCCAATGTATCATTTTCTAAGCAAGTACCTACCGATACAAAATCTCGGAAACGGCGCCAACGATGTCAATGAATTTTTTGTAAGCGTAGGTATCAAGGGCTCAGGGGACGAGAAATCGAGCAAGTATTCATTTTCGTAGCCTAACTTAATCATCCAGCAACCTTCGTATTTAACCAAGTAACATCATCAACTAAGTATTGAGAGCCTCTGGCAAAAAATCTCTCGTATAACACGGGTGTTCATTATTCCTATAGCAATGCGAGTGACTAGGTAAGTATGAGAAAATTAGGGCCATCCACTGCATAACATCCAAACGACTTTTCCGCGCCCATCTAAACGCAAGTCACGAGGCCTAGTGCACTATGTAATGTAGTAATGCGTTTTGTGACGACTTTCTGCAATAAAATGACCAGTGAAGCTGGATCTGCATTTTGCCTTTCACTCCTCGCAACAAGGTAGATTCGGAGACAGTTCAGCGGTCAACGAAAGCCTATATATCTACCTAGTCAATGTCTGAATGCACAAAATTCTAACCTTCCACGGCCATCGCTTTCATAAGGCAGATTACGTGCTTTGATTCTCCCGGGAGAAACGATTGGTGGGTGAGCGGTTGCAGGTTCGCTTTGATCGCGAGCAGAAGTTTCGACGCGCGGTAACGTCGCGCATGCGTACCTCACCAATGCTTTTGGCGGGAAACGAATGTGTATGTTCGAAAATTAAAAAATAATAATCCTTTTTTTTCCTTTTGTGCCAGTGATTGTTCTTCAATACAAATATTATAATTTACAAATACTTAACAGCAATCAGAGCGAGTTTCCATCGTATAAAAATGGTAAGTTATTTTTTATCTATTAAAATATAAATATAAAATATATATAATTATGTCGGTAGAAGGACCACTGACCGACCTTTATTTTTTTACCTTTATTTTACTTTCCTAAATATCTACTAATTTTATCTCCGCACTATTTATCAAAAGAGTATCAATACAATTCTATCATTAATGAAAATAACAGTTAAATATTACATCTGGGTTAAGTAAATCCAACTAAGTACCTACAACTTAGTTTTTTTTATTGTGAGCTACTATTTCGTTGCCTAGGTACGGAACTCAAGTTTTTATTTATCGTGATCGCTTTGTGATGACTGCAAAAAGCCTCAAGATGTGATAATATGATGCATTTCTTATCAGGTGCTATGTATCTATTCACTATATACACTTTAAATTCAGTTAAGTACATCTTTAAAATGTACCAACGTGTTTTTTAAATAAATGAACTGGATTAAGTTTATGTCTAATTAAAGGTATAGTATAAGTACCTAAATAATGAAAACATAAAACCTGAAATAATACTAAAAAGATTCCTATTTAGGTACTTATGCTTCATATGTATGTTGATTTAGATTTTTTCATTTGGTTGTGATAAAATACTTTATTAGATATTAATGTAGGTACCTACCGACTACTACCTACTGATCTGATCATAATTTCGTGCAATGTGCTTATCCCCAAAACAGTTAGTAGGTAATGCTCGGGTTGGCTTGACCGGAGTTATACCACGACCACCAAAGAACACCGGCGTGAAATAACAAAATAAGTGGGGTAACCAAAGGCCTAATACAAATTTAGGCCTTCGGTTACTCATCCCTAATTTCCAAATCCTCGAAACGCTAATCCTCCAAAGTGCGGCAAAGAGCTTGTTAAGGCTCTGGCGTTACGGATTTCTTATAAAAAATAGAAGTGAGCTTGATCCACACTTTTTATTGCACGTCATTGTTTTGAATACTTATAAGTAGCGTATTTATGTACCAGGTTAGGTGGTAGGTATACCTATTATACTATAAAATGGGATCACGCAATTAATCCATACGTTAAGTTACACATGTAAATTTTAAATTAGTCACTTCTGAACTTATTTTATCACTTTTCTATTCATCAAGTGATAGCAATCAAATGGCCATCTAAACACAACACAACAACGGCTTTCTTCACACGCTACCGAGCAAGTTTCACGCGTACAACTTATAAATATCTAGTCACCGATTTGTATGGAATCCTAGAAAGAGATGAGGAAAATACTAGGTAATACACAGACGGGTACTAGTGCTAGACCAGTCTATGGTTGGAACTCTAATACCTAAATAAATACCTGCAAGGCTTACTTAATAACTGCAGTATTATAATTTTGTTTTAGAACATTGCCGAATGCCGTTTCTAAAAGCGATTCGAAGTATATCTCTAATCGACAATAACTGTCTTCTATTTTAAACTTTTAATAGTTTTCCAAGGCATCTACAATTTAACTTTCAATGTTTCATCGTTCAATGTAACGTTATCTATTTGTTTATTTTTCCCTGATTTTCGTGCAGAATATTTTCTTTGATAGGATAAAAGCCAGTATAATATTATATAAGTACCTACCCGTAGGTCTCAGAATACAGAACAAACCCGTAGGTATTAAGCATATAAGCAATAACATACACACAATGTTTTTTTTTTGATATAATGATATGATAATGTATGAGATAAATAATAAAAATAGATTTGGATTTGGAAGTGGTGTAATCATTATATATTTTTTTAACTTTGCCTTACACTCGTATTGCCTGTGTCTTGAATGCGTTTAGAAACATACCTACAATTTCATCCAGTCCAGAAACAACAATTTGTGGATAACACAAAGCTTTGTTTCGTGCAGAAATCGAATCGATACATAGCACGGCAGCTAGCCACCAACTCACATTAAAAAGTTTCTAAAGATGGATGAATGACTGTTTGTTATTGCACGCAAAAACTACTGAATAAATTTTGATGAAAATTGGCACAGAGATAGATTACCTATAGTCTAAAATACGGGGACGAAGCGGCTGGCAAATCTAGCGTTTTATAAAAAAATGTGCTAATTAAACTAACAGCAACTTACTCATATAACCGACATTGTGTAATATAGGCATCCTAAACAGTTACGTGAGTAGGCCATTAAACATAATAATTAATTTAGAAATAAAGTTATAATAGGCACTAACTAAAGTACCTAAGTAATAAATATGTATATCCTAATAACCTACATGGTATAAGTGTGGAAGAGCCATGCTTCGGCACGAATGGGGTCGGCTCGACCTGAGTGATATCACGGCCTAACAGAAAACCGGCGTGAACCAACACTTATACGTTGTGTTTCGCCGTGTAAGTAAGGTTATGGGATGTGGGAGGCCCAATTCCTCCCCCCTCCCCCCATCCTCAATCCTCAAATCCCGAATAGCCCATAAGCGGCCGGCAACGCACTTGTAGTAACACCTTTAGTACGAGTTTCTTTGGGAGGCACTGATTGCTTACTCCAGGTAATTGGTGATATACTTAATCTTACATGAAAAAACCTACATGCTTAAGAAGGGAACTGTAATTCAAACTCCTATCAAAAATACTTTCAGTGTATCTTTGTGCATAGCAACAAGACACCTAATAGCGAATAGACCAACACAGATCAGGCCAAGCATGGCTAAGGCTTAGCCGTGGTCGCTGGTCAAACACAATAAGGTACCGCGGCCTCGGCCCGGAACAGGAGAAGGATAGGGGATAGTTTTTAGTCAGAAAGAGTCGTACACCTAACCTCTTGCCATAACCTGGGAGAGCAAAGTCATTTCATAATTTTCCTTCCACAAAAAAAAAACACCTAAGTGATAACCAATTTCCAGCTAAATAATGTTTAAGGTACCATCTAAGACGAATTCGCATAAATTGGCTACGGAACCCATTATTTATTGACCGGCCATTATTGAAGGAAGGCTATAATGAACGGTCATACATTCCCAGAGACAACAACAATATTACTGTGAAGAATACTGTTATATCACACTTGTGTTTAAGTACTAAGTTATATGATTTAATAACTAGTCACTATTATGACCAGAGCTACACTGGATGTATAGTATTATGCGAGGAGAAATCGGAAAAGTAATGCGACATATACCATTTTTGGGAGGGTCAAATATTCAAAAGTCCCGCCCTAGGTTGGAGGAGCGACTCTTATCTACTGACTTTAAACGAACCCGTTCTTTCTTAGTTTACACCAGTTGATTTGTTGTAAA